TGTACACCATGTCAACATGGCGCATAAATAGCTCTACGCTTGGTGTACTTTTTTTCATGGATAGAACATCGAAACAGGTCAACATTTGGCCGTTAGATTTTTTTTCGGTCAAAATTGATAAAATGGACATGTCTTGACCAAATAATTATCGATTTCGATGCTTTATGCCAAAAAAAACATATACTTTTCGAAATCTTCCAGACGATTTTCATTTCTTTGTTGAAGAAGCAAAATTCGATACAAAATCTTGGGGAATATATATATGGGCACACAAGCACCTGGTTCACGTATAACGCATCACACATCTATGTGCGTATATGTGAGTATGTTAGCACAATTTACATATGTAGCCAATTGTTCAACGAATCAAACCATAGTTGTTTTAATATTAAGTATGACAATAGTTGACATCGAAAAAAGTAGTATTCTTTTAGTTTTACTTCTATCATAGGGAAAGTGCCACAATACATTTCAAATGTAAGTCATTTGAAACATAGCAGTCAATGCCATCTCAATTCCAACTCATTGAATCATTGAATTTTTCGGCAACTTTTTTTAAACGTGTATAGCTTTACTAGAATATAATCAACTTTACGGTGACGCTAACAGCTTCTCTGTGGGCCGGTACTACGCGTTAGCCAAAACGTATTGATGTTTTGCAATGGTTACTCGATGCATTTGCCAAAATACTATGATTTTTGTACTCTCTTCTACGATGTGTGTGCAGAGAAGCTGCTAGTGTCGCCGTAAAGTTGATTATATTCAACTTAAGCCACACACGACTGAAAAAAGTTGCTCGAAATATTCGATGATTTAATAAGTTGGTTTAGAGATGTCATTGACTGTCTTTTGGTATTCCGGCAATACATTTATGACTTCTATGATAATTATGATTGGTAAGATAATTTTGCTTCTAATGAATGATCTAAATTCTTCCTCTTCAAAATTTCACTCTGGCATGGTTCTCATAATTGAAATGATGGTTCAGTGCATTAAATGATGCACCTCGCTTAATCTCAATGAAATTCCATTCGGTTCGATTTTTGGCCTATTTCACCTCCAGATACACATGTTCTTTTAGATAAACAGTGATTTTACTTGCGTTGGGTAATTTCGACCGTTCTTTGTTCAATTCGGCTATGTTGAGATTATCTTCGTGGTTCTTCTGAAGATGAAATACAACGATCTTCTGTAATTTGGGGTGAATAACGAATGAACGGTATAACGTCATCAATTGTTGCAATTTCAAATTCAGTCAATTCCAGATTTACACGTTCGTTACATTTTCAATGACTCTTCCTTAATTAGTATTGTCAATATGGATATGCTTCAGAACGCAATCCATTCAATTTAATTTGAATGGTTGCCTAATTAACTATCACTTGAATGCCTGCCATCACTTTTGAGTTTTGGTTTGATTGCAACGTAGTTCATCTTGATGTTGTAATCGACTGCATACGTTTGTACGTTTGGCCAAGTGTAGTCAACTCTTTCTTTGACAACGAGTCGAAAAACTCTTCAAAAACGATCGATTTGAAAATCACCATTAAAAAATCTCCGCTTATGATTGTTCATTCGAAACACTCTGAATGACATCAGCTGATGTACTTTCTACGTATCTTCTCTTCATTTCTCTTTCAAACACTTAGAACATTTTATGCTAAACATAGAAAGCTTTTATGTTACGTGAAAATCAGTTTCTGCAGTGAGTCGATTTTCTTTTATTGTCTTCGTTCAAAGTGAAAAAGGTGACCAATTGAAAAATCAAACGGAAAATAGGCCAAGGCCAAAGTTATTTGCTGGATTCCCCGAAACGAGAACAACCAAACAAGTTGTTGTTCAAGTGACAAGCAACAAGTGACTAACAGCTGCAGACTGGAACCGATTGTTTCACGGAACGAAGGGAATGGACAGGAATAGTAACATTCCAATGGAGTTGGAGAAGTTATTTCGAAGGAAATGTCACATTCGAATAAGTTGAGCTTTAGTGAATTCTGCTTGCAACGTGGAATTTTTGGAAGCTGTGTTAGTAACATACAATATTTGTTGCAATGGTTTTGAAAGACACAACATATTCACTTGTCCATTCACCAATACACATGACAGTTATAAAGACATTGATTGATTTGGATAATGTTGTCGGTCAGTAGTGGACCAAAAATTAAGCCGGAATTTTAGATGCATCCTGACAGACACCTCGAGAAACGCCATGGTAAACGTTTGGTAGTTCTTTAGAACGTTCTTTCACTGCTGCGTAGACAGAGTTGGTGATAACCCAACAGTACGTAGCTAGTACTGAAAATTGGAAATTTTTTGGATATCGTTCATAATGACATACAGTGAATTAGTTTATAATAATAAAGGATTGATGATATGCGAAAATAACCTACTTGTCATGAGGATGACAACGAATACAATGAAAGCTAGTGGGAAGTCGTTGAGTTCTTTGGGCTTTTCAGATAATGTTGCTATATAAACAGCAACAAGCAAAATAATGACATCAGCAATGTAAAGAATCACAATACCAATCGTTGTTAGTACCACATTCAGGAGCAGGTAGCTTGGTTGGGACTGATAAAAAAAAAGTTTACAAAACATTAGACAGAAGCGTCAAAAATGTTGATTTCATCAACAGAAATGAACATTTCATTGTCGCTATCGTTCAGAAAAAAATGCTTACTTTTTCGATTCCATAGAGCCAACAAGCACTAAGTGCTATACTAGCGGCTAGAAAAAAAATAATTGATTGAATTGAAGATTTGATTGAAATATACGCCAAAGAAACAATGAACTTACCAGCCGCTAATAAATTTCCGATATGATTAAAACTTCCAATGAATGAAAGGATTCCATTCAAGACTCCAAGCCAACCCATGATTTTACCAGCAGTTATCAAGTCAACGCAACAACAGCAATGTTCAACGGTCGGTAATGGCATTTTGACTTTTTATACCCGAATGCTGAGGTTGTACTTCGAGAAATACGCCTTTGAATGAAAAAAAACTTGGTTATTGTTGATCAAATGTGTAATGACGCATGCATACGTTGTGTGTGAACCGGAATGCTCAAAATAAGGGTGGAAAATTTCTGAAAAGTCGTTAAATAACGATTTTTTGCTAACGAACTTGGGATCAAAATGAAGAAAAAAAAGCGTTGTAAAAACCGTTAATATGGGGACATAGTAAGAAAGCTCGAGGGAAATTTTACAATTTTTTTTAAAAACTACGACGCAAAATGATAAAAAAACATGTTTTTTTTTATTTTGGTTACACTTCGTCACATTCCAGCCCATAACTGCGTATCATGTTATGTGTTATTAGATGAGCTGTTTCTGAATGGAAGCGAATATTGGTCAACCAAAGACTGTCATGATCTACGTTAAGCGAAGCTTTGATGTCAAATTCCAATAGTCGATTCGTTCTCAAGGTTAACAGACTGTCACTGTCATCAACGATACATCAAACATGCAACATCCATAGCTCCAATGCATTTTAACACCATCTAGAGAGTTCGACAGAAATGCGGAAATGCGTTCGTTGCTAGAAAATTCGTAATTAAAATAGCGAAGCATCAAATGCGTCGTATATGTGAATGCATTTCCGCAACATCCAGCAGAATGTATGTGATATTACCGGAATATTCGGTAAAGAGAACGAGTGCGCATGTGTAGTAACAAACATTCTAATGTTTACACTCCCACACTCTGGTTTGTTCTCTTAGCTGTATATTTGACGTGCGTATTGCGTATGACTTTGATGCATCATATTTGAAGAAAAGTAAACCAAAAAAAAACAGACAACATACACGTAAAACAATTACATTAAACATAGATTCTCTCTTTTGTAACATAAAAATGCGACAGAATACATGAATGACATCGATTAAATAGCATACCTTCGTGAATACCAATAAATTTGGGAGTTCAATCGAAATTTAACTATTGAAATTCGAAACACTTTAGATTTTTAGTTTAAATTCACACTTTTTTATGCAAAAAAAGCTAAGAGATGTTACTTCGAACAGGCGTTGAGTGAGAATGCCGAATATGAATAGATCTTGTACATAGGAGAGATGCCATGAAACATATTTTCCCTCTGTCTTTTTAGGTGGGGATGAATGTTGACAGGAAGAAAGCAAGGGGACACCACTCAACTGGTGATTCGAACTGATGCGTAATTTCTAAACAACCTGTTGAATGTAAATTAGTGGTAAAACGATTGTTTTAGATGAAAATGTGCAAAAAATCAATTTTACTCATACAAAATGAGTCAATTTGTCCGCTGCTACGTGATGAGTATAGAAATGGAATAGTGGAATTTCTATTTTTTTTCATTTTTGGACGAGACAAGCAAATTTGATTGATTTTCTGTTGAAAAACCATAATAATTAATGATTTCCCCTTGTAAGCCATATAATTATTGGAGAAAGTGGAGAAATTCGGAACGTGGGGATACTCGGAACACCATCAATTTTCACCGCACATTCAAACAAGTGCTATCGTTTTCTTTTACCCAATACTTCCATAATGGAAGTTCCATTGGAATTCGACGCGTGTGCATTTATTGTTTGCTTCTTGCGACGTCTTTTTTCAAAGGCTCAATTTATTGACTGTTCGTGTTTGCATTATTTTCACAACATTTTTCGAAGAATCAACTCAAGATAAAAACGTTTATAATTATCTAGTGCATGATATTTCTACTTGAAAAATCAAAATCGATCAACGCTTTTTTACATGAACATTCATTGAGTGACCCAAACGCGATTAAGTTGCAAACCTTAGTGAGTGGGGAATTGTGAAACACCTGTGGCGTGCGGAAATTTGGTCATGTCATTTTTCATGTCATTCAAGACTTTCAATTTACATGTTAAAGATTTTGTTTTCCGATTTTAAATGTGAAGCACCTCATTTGCAAATATTTTTTATCTTCTCTTGATTTTTTCTTTCATTGAGCCCAATTAAATTTAATCCATACTCAATTTTATTTTGAATTTTTCCAGAATTGATTTAATTGTTTCTAAGAAGGAACTGAAGAACCGACAAGCAAAAAAATCTGATTTCAGCCAATTCACCTCATCAACACATTTCCATTTATGACGTTGCCTAGCAACTGGCTTCGGTTGCTATCCAATTTTTTTTTCCATGAGACGAAGAGTATGTTCGACTGCCACGCGTGCACGACGATTGTTAAATAGGAATATATATCCAACTGAAGTAGTTCACTCTTTCTCTTTGCTCTCCTCTCATCTGCTTCGCCTTTCGTATGTGTATCATTGAAATGATAAACTTAGATACGTAGTTAACCCTTTGATGCACAATTTTTTGTTTTTGAATCATTTTGATATATGTTTTGTGCCACGATAAATAGAAAAAGACCTCATACTTAGATTTTTGAAAAATTGCGTATTTGTCGAGAAAATCGGAAATGAGTCAAAAGTGTCAAAGCTCGAAAAAATTAAATTTCATAAAACTAATGATGCAGAAAGTTAAATTGATGTGTTTTGGTCCTACGAGTCCTAATTTGACAATTGAAAAGAATGTAAAAACCCACAAGATAAGAGGAGGAAAAATGTGGAATTCTGCTATAATTTCGCTTTTTTTTTTGCAGCAGTACATGAACAGAAAAAACTTTCCATTCAGCTAACCAATTGTAGCCTGTAAAGTATCAAATGAAAGCTAGTTCAATTCCCTAAATTTGTTTCCAAACAAGAATGCAAAAATATTTGCAGTGGTTTCATAGCTATAGCGTCTGGCGTATCTGGTTACTTTTGGAACCGAAATGTGATAAAGGGTTAATAATGATTCTCTTTATCTCTAATCCCATTTCAAATTGATTTACAGTGCCGGGTTTTCAATTGTCGCCCGATTTTCGTCAGAGAGCCACATCAAATGCCAGTTCGGTTGGTCGGCTGAGAGCAATATCAACCGTTGTCGCTTTGGATCCCAACTGCAATCAATACAAAACATTTAACATAAATTCACATGAGTGCAATAACTTGCATAGAACCATTGATAGCGCCATTAAATTAATCAATGTCCCACGCTGGATCAATTAGCTGGCTCGTTGAGGGAGTAATAACTATTGACGCTTTTACCGTATTCACGGGCATTTGAAAGCATTTGCACAGCGCTCGTCAGACGAGCCTCGTCTGTGCTATTGTTGCTGTTTTCATGTAGCTTGCTTTCGTTCGTATTCACTTGCCCAAGGTCGCTTTCTTCGTATACAAATACATGGTAAAGATTTGATGTAAGACGCCAAGATGCCTCTACGCGTGGAATGCTCGAAGCTGTCATCGTACACATATTGAACAAGAACATTGTCGTTTACACAATCACACTCACACAAATGAACGCATCGATAGTGCCCGCTTGATATATGTACGATGAGTGTTTTGAGTGTCCCTCGCCTAGAGGGCTGCGTGTTGTTTTTCTCCGTTTATTAAGCGATCTTGACTTGCCGTATTTAAAATATTTTTATCCTTTGGCAGCTATTTGCGGCCGTTGTTGCTTTTAGCTTTCACTTACCATTTTTTCATGCATTATTTCCTATTATTACGCACTGGCCAACGATCTGAAATCTGAATATTCAAAATGACTTGATGCACGGTTGGTTTTTGATTTCTTTCTGCCTATAAGTAATCAATTTCTTGTATGTATATATGTGACTTCAAAACATGAAATTCAACCTGGATATCTAACCCCATCTGAGAATGCAGATGTTCCATTAATGTCTTATTCTCTGTGTGGTTTTATTGAATAACAAACGCAAAAACTTTTTAAATTAATTTATTCAAGTGACGACGCGCGAGCTTTTACAATTAATCCATCGAAAGAAAAAACAACAACACATTTTCAGGGTCATACGCTGAATGAGCCCAAATTTGAATGTTCATTTCAAACGTTTAAAATCCAAATGATAGCTTTTCTGGGAATAACATCGGAAGTGACTAATAATTATGTTGGTTTTTTCATTTGTCATTTCAAATGCAGAGTGCCGCTTCAAATTTGTTCACAATGCATTTGTTGTTGTGCATGCATACCGGTGGCCTTCACATGGAGCGATACTATCATCTCTATCCGTTGTGCTGTTTTGTTATCACATTTTTTGCGTATTTTTGGGAAGATAGCAATATCAACTCACTGACTAAGTGTATTTGAAGAGAGCGACTCCGAATGTGATGGCAAAAGTGATTTCAACCATACTCCGAGCATGTATATGGAGTTTCAATACATTATATTTGGTACGGGCGTCTAACTCCATCTACGGATTTTTCCAGTAGTTGTGAATCGAGTAGATATATAACGATTTCAACTATTTTTGGGCAAAATTATCTCAAAAATATACAAAAATGAGTTATTTGTTATGCGAACGCTCAAACGGCTACCGGAAATGTACGCGCAAATACATGCACTCGAGTGTATTGTAAATTTGTCATCTAGTAACCATTGCATGTCTACTGAATCAGTGCGTATATTAACAGTAGTCGTTTGAGCGTTCGCATGACAAATAACTCATTCTAGCATACTTCTGAGATAATTTCGTCCAAAAATAGTTGAAACCGCAACTCAATAGAACACAACTGCTGGAAAAATCCGTAGATGGAGTTAGACGTTTCAAATACGTCATGTTCTCGGTATGATTTCAACGAACCAAAAGATTTCTAATAATAATTTAGAAAACAATTTTTTTCGAATGATTTTGAAGTTAATCAAGGTGTCCAAATATTGTTGCGACAGAATTCATGAATACCATAGTGCATAGCGCTTTTATTCGCGAAAAATAAAATGACAAACTGTCTCATGCGATATGGAAAATATGCGTTTTGGACACATTGCACAATTTTGTGAGTAACTGTATGTTTTAAATCATATATTTCAATGGCAATGAGACAACTCAGCAAAATATACTGTAACAAACACAATCTGGTTTTTAGGAAGGTTTTTTTAGGTTTTTTAGGACATTTTTCGTTTCACCCACAAGTTCGCTGTTATAGCTGCATTCAACGCATTCGCAAACATTCGAATTTTTATTCATTCAAATTAAATCGAATGTATGCGTGATTATAATCACTAGATAATTACCTATCACTTGAATGCCATCACTTTTAAGCTTTGGTTTAATTCCAGCATAATGTGTCTTGATGTAGTAGCCGACGATGCGTGCGAAAGCTTCAATGAAAAGTGTTAGAGGGGTTGGAAAAAAATTCGAAATTACAGGAACATTATCGAACATTTCGGTTTACTCAAATTTTTTGTGGATTTAAAAAACAATACAATATGTTTTGTTTAAAAAAAAAGAAGTGTAAAACAATTTTTATTGGTCATAGTGTTTAGAGAATTCTACTTGGAACTTGAAATTTTCGGAAGCCATGATAGCAGCATACAATATTATATTTCATTGCGATTTTGAAAGATTCAACATATTCAATTGTCCATTTCACCGATGAACATGACAGTTGTAAAGACGTTGATTGATTTGGATGATGTTATCAGTCAGTGGTGGACCAAAAATTAAGCCGGAACTTTGGAGGTACCATGAGAGACACCTCGAGAAACGCCGTGGTAAACGGTTGGCAGTTTTTGAGAACGTTCTTTCACAGCTGCGTAGACAGAGTTAGTGACAACCCAAAAGTACGTAGCTAGCACTAAAAATTGGAAAAGTTTTAGAATAATGTTCATAATTATCAGAAACAGTTGATGATATGGAAAAATAACCTACTTGTCATGAGGATGACAAAGAGTACAATGGAAGCTAGTCGTATGCTTTCGAACTTTATGGGCTTTTCAGAAGTTGCTGCTATATATACAGCAAAAGGCAAAAACAGAACATCAAAAATGTAAAGACTCACAACACCAATCGTTGTTAGTAACACTGTCGGGAGCAGATAGCTTGGTCGAGACTGGTAAAAAAAATTAAACAGATGCGTTGAAAATGTTGATTTCACCAACAGAAATGAACATTTCATCGTCGTTATGGTCCAGAAAAAAAAAACTACTTACTTTTTCGATTCCATAGAGCCAACAAGCACTAAGTGCTATACTAACATCTAGAGAAAAAAAAAAATTGAATTGAAACTTCGATTGGAAAAAACGACAAAGAAACGATGAACTTACCAGCGTCTAAAAACAATTCGAGGCGTTTAAAACCGCCAATGATTGAAAGGACTCCACTTACGATTCCCAGCCAACCAATGATTTTACCAGCAGTTATCAAGTCAACACAGCAACAGAAATGTCCAATGGTTGGTAATTTCATTTTGACTTTTTACACCCGAATGCTGAGGTTGTACTTGGAGAAATACTACTGTGTCCAAAAAGTAAGGTGACATTGCATTTAAAATTTAGCGCGCTGGGGAATTTGAAAAAATCCTTTTATTTTTAGGTTGGTAGGACTGTCTTTGACATCCCTGCCAAATTACACGTCAAAATATTCATTAGTGTTTGAGATACGCTTCGTTTTGTGGACTGCTAAAAGTGAATTTCTCGTTTTTTGCGATGTCGAAATTTGTTGATCAAAGAATTTGCATTAAATTTTGTTTGCGGAATCAATTTTCTGCTGCGGATTCGTTGAGGATGGTGCAGAAAGCCTTTGGTGATGAGGCTATGTCGAAAAAAAATGTTTACAAGTGGTATAGTGAGTTCCAAGCAGGCCGTGAATGTGTCGAAGACGAAGAGCGTGCTGGGCGACCATCAACCTCAACCGACGAAGCTCACGTCCAAAAAATTAAAGATTTGGTGTTGGAAAACCGTCGATTAACGATTAGAGACCTTGCTGATGATATTGGCATATCGAAAGGCTCAGTCAATACCATTTTGAAGGATGTTTTGGGCCTCAAACGCGTCAAATCTCGACTGGTACCGAAATCATTGAATTTTTTGGAAAAAAGGTGTCGAGTTGACGTGTGTGAAACAATGCTTTCTGACTACATTGACAAGACGAAATGCATGATCACTGGAGACGAGACTTGGATCTATGCTTACGACCCGGAAACAACCGACCAATCGAGCGAATATCGTGCCAAAGGTGAGCCGAGACCAAAAAAACCGCGCCAAAGTCGCTCAAAAATCAAGGTCATGTTGACTGTTTTCTTCGATTATCGGGGTGTTGTGCATTATGAGTTCCTTCCCCCGGGTCAAACAGTCAACAAGGAATATTATTTGAGTGTTATGCGTCGTTTGCGTAACGCTATCCGCCAAAAGAGGCCGGAATTGTGGAAAGACAACTCTTGGTTTTTGCACCATGATAATGCATCGTCTCACAATGCGATCATTCTTCGTGAACATTTCGCCAAAAACTCGACTCATATCGTTCCACAACCACCGTATTCACCTGATTTGGCACCGTGCGACTTCTGGCTGTTCAACAAGCTCAAAAGACCGCTCCGGGGACACCGTTTTGAGACGATAGAGCAGATTGAAGCCGCAGCGAAGACGGAGCTGAGGGCCATCCCTGAAGTCGACTTTTTCAACTGTTTCGAAGATTGGAAAATCCGTTGGCATAAGTGCATTGTATCGGGAGGGGATTACTTTGAAGGCGATGAAATTGATTTGGAAGAATAAATAAAGAATTTTCAAAATAAATGCAATGTCACCTTACTTTTTGGACACAGTAGTATGCCTCGTGAATTGGGAGCCCAATCGAAATTTGACTTTTGAAATTCTAAACACTTTGAATTTTTATTTTGAAATCACACTTTTTTTTACTATGCACAAAAAGCTTCGAGATGTTACTTTGAACAGGCGTCGAGTTAGATTGCCAAATATGAATTGATTTTCTGCATATAAGAGCTGCTATGAATTTTAAAACAATTTATTGAATGTATATTATTGGTAAAACGAACAGCTCAGCCTTATCAAATAATCAGTAGAATATAAACCAAAATAGTTGAAGCAACTGTGCGATAAGGTTAATCTGTCTGCCTGCTATGCTCTATTACATAAATCGTGGTAATCGATGAACAAAGAATCAACAAATGGTAAGAAGATTATTTTATCTTCACAATTCTGTTTCAATCAATGCATCAATGCAATCAAACAATATGTCTCAATACTAATAATTGTGTAACGTTTTGTGTATAGTAAAATAAACACTAATGTAACCGTTCCACCATCCCCTTATCATTCGATTGCGCTCAACGATTTCATCATACAAAACATTTAAATATTCAAATACAATTATTCGTTATCGTCTTGGTTGCGTTTTGTAGCAGTATCCGTGAAGGTATAGATACTGTTTCCAAACAGTTCGCTTGTCAAGTAAGTTTTGGCCGACGATTTTGAATTAATCGTTGATTCACAAAAAATCGAGAAAAAAAAAACAACAAATTTCTATGGTCAAACGCTGAATGGAGCTAAATTTAATGTTGGCAACAAGTATGTATGTTCAATCACAGCAGCCACAAGAAAATGTTATCGATTTCAACGACGAAATATGTTTTTATTATGAATAAAAAGCTATATCTCAGTGCTGATGTCCAAATTTTTTTCAACGTGGCCATAAAAGTGGCCGGGAGATCGAGCCAATTTTTATAAACAAAAATGATAGCAAATACCATTAAAAATTCGTTTATTTTCAATCATCAATGGGATGTGTGGCATTCTTTATTTTCTGTGTGATTATTTAAGTCGGGTGTCAATGTGGAGTGCATAGTTCGTAACGAAGCTCAAATTCCAAAAGGTGGTTGACTACGAGATAAAACGTTACGGCATGTGAAATTCGAAAATGAAGCCTCAAAAACGAACATACAAAGGAACTTTGGTACCATGGATTAATTTAAGGAATTTAGATTTTTGAGTATTGACAACTGCCATTTGATCTGGGGCAATCAAAGGTTCAAATATCCGAATACATGATGAAGCTTGGAATATCTATTCTTAGTTTCAGTATATCAGACTCAATGTCTTTGAGTAATAAGATTCGGCTTGAATGTATAACCTCTTCATGTTGGTACAAAATCGTAGGAAACCGCGATAAAATCGCTTGCTATCGTCGAGAAATCGTGGAAATTTTAATTTTATCGTTTCTACTTGACTCAAAATCGTTTTGATGCTTGACATTACTGCATCGGTCAATGTAACCCTGGTTAACTGGATTTCATTGAGCGATTTGAAGCAATCGAACTCTATTTGATCAACGTATAGAAACTCACACTGAGCGAGTACCATTTTCTTAAAGTATGAACCCAGTACATCCAATTCAATTACGGTATTTGTTTGACTATCTCTTGCATGGATGACAGCGAAATCAAGTTCAAGCTTAACTGCAGCATAATTTGTCTTGATGCAGTAGCCCACGATGCGTGCCATTCGTCTGCACGTTTGACTAAGTGCGGCCAAGTCTATCAGCGACAACCAGTCGAATAACTCTTCGAAATGATAGATTTTCAATTGAAAATCTCCGCTTGCGGTTGATCATTTGGGATGACGTCAGCTGATGCACTTTCTACGTTTCCTCTCGTCATTTTGACCAAATACTTCGCACAGGACACTTTTATGGTAATCAAAAAACGTTAAATGCTTATCAAAACAATCTAATGCTACGAAAATAAAAACACTTTTGTAGTGGGTCGACTTTCTTTTACTCCCTTTGTTCAAAGCGAAATTGAAGACTAATTGAACAATCTGATGATCGACAAAGGCCAAATTTCTTTTGCTTTTTTCTTCCGAACTATCTTAAATTCTTTTCAAAGAAGTGTTGTTCAAGTGCCTTACTGCTGTGGACTGAATCTGATTGAACCACGGAGCGCAATAAGAATAGTAACATTTCCCATTTTTCTGTAAGGTTATTTCAAATGGAATGCCATATTTTTAGCCTTTCGAAAGAACATTTGATTTCCGAAAACTGCCTATGGAAATTGGATACGGGGAAAGCCCATAATATGTAACAAAGCAACGGGAAATTTAAAAACTAACTGCGATTTTTAATTCATTCTGCGAAACGGTTTCAGTTTATTGGCTTCAATCGTTTTATGTATCACCAATGCTTATCGACTTCTTTTTTTTCTAGATTACCCACACTTGTTATCTATTCGCCATTTTGTTCATTCAGAAAAATGCATTTGTTTTTATTTTCAGCATTGTTCAGCCGTTTAGTCCAGTTTAAATGGTTCTGCGAAATGATCGATAGTTATCTTGAAAAATATCTACTTACATTCATTTGGATTAATGTTAAAATACGAAAGAATTTATACTCTGTGTGCATCATTCATTTAAGCCAAATGTTTCCGAGTGGAAATATACAAACAAAATACAAACAATTTTTGAATGAACTGAAACTAATCTTTTCCATGAAGAACCATTTGATCAATTCCTACAGAAACATTCTTTTGAAAATTAAACGATTTGAACGAAGAAAAACAAAAGAATAAAAAAAAATATTTTCCCCTACCGGGAATCGAACCCGGGCCTTCTCGGTGAAAGCGAGATATCCTAGCCACTAGACCATAGAGGAGATGAATAGCGTACGCAAACATACTAAAATGAAATGTCCATTCAGCTCATGGACATCGTCCAATACAATCTCAATTGTAAAGCATCAAAGGCCAACTCGCAATATGCGATTTCCACTGACTTTTACTTCTATTAATAGAATTGTATGACGAAATCATTGAAAAAATTCCGTTGTATGACGACTTATTTGGAATGTCTACTGAAAATCAAATACATTTTCAACTCTTTCTGCGAATTGTTTTTTTCTTCTTCATTTGCTCATATGACCATGGAATTTAATTTAAAGTTGGTCTATATTTATCATCGAATATATGAAATGCACTTCATTTTTAATCGTGAAACCATTTCTCACATTTTAAATTCTCGTTCTAAATTAACCTAAAGAGCGATGAAATATTCGAATCGTCGTCACTGTCACTGTTTACACAGGAAAAACCAACGGTGCATGCGTTGCGAATGCATTTGATCGTGTTCAATCATAACTCCCCCATGGTCTAGTGGCTAGGATATCTCGCTTTCACCGAGAAGGCCCGGGTTCGATTCCCGGTGGGGGAAAATATTTTTTTTCATTCAATATTCCACATCATTATCTCTTTGAATCAGTCAAAATAACACATTAAAAAAATTGCACAATCAACATAAATCGTTGTGAATTTTTTTAGAGTCACTGTGCATTACTTTCATACACACGGATCTGTTTTTATCTGTTCAAATGTTCAATCTCGTTTCTATCTACTAAGTCTTGGATTTAATCTCCAAAAATGAATTTAAAAAATTGACAAATAAAGAACTTTCGAATTCCAAATAAGTCCATGAATGACAAGCTCAATTTTTCAAGCATTTGATATCGCATAGATTGAGAGATTTTACTTCAGCCAAATCAGTTGAAGTGTTTTGTTTTACTTTTCCGTACACAACGTGTCAAGAGAAAGTATAGGAATTGGTCCCGAAAACTTTTTTCGCAAAATTAGCTTAGATCATCATAAAAACTCATGAAACGCGTAGAAAACCACTTTTTGAGACACTTTTCCGTTCGTGTGCCGTCGTCGTTGTCGTCGTTGTCGTTGTCGTTGTCGTTGTCGTTGTCGTTGTCGTTGTCGTCGTTGGTGTTTGTTACCACGATAACTCAAAAAATAATTGAGATAATCAAAATCTGGAAATGCCAAAAGTTTTGTATTTAAAAAACTTAGTTTAAGTTCGAAGATGAGCCATTTTCGATTTGATCCTGGGGTACTTGCCCTAAGAAAAACCTCAAAAAATTGACACTTTTGTATGGGAGGTACCTGTAAATCGACTCCGATTGGCTTCCAACTTTCTGGGAATTCATTTTTTGAGAGAAAAATAAGATTCTGAAAGTTTGAAGCTAATCGGAATCGATTTACTGGTACCTCCCATACAAATTTTTTGAAATTTTGACTAAAATTACCGATTTTTGGACAATTTTGTATGGGAGGTACCCGTTAATCGATTCCGATTGGCTTCAAACTTTCTGAGGTTTCATTTTTTGAAAAAAAAATAAGATTCTGAAAGTTTCATATTGATCGCATTTGCAGAAGTTTGATTTTTTGTCCTCAATTTTTGTCGACATTTTCTTGGAAAAAATTGAGTGCCAAAAACCAAACTTCTGCAAATGCGATCAACATGAAACTTTCAGAATCTTATTTTTTCTCCAAAAAATGAAACCTCAGAAAGTTTAAAGCCAATAGGAATCGGTTTACGGGTACCTCTCATACAAAATTGTCGAAGTTTTAGTTAAAATGACCGATGTTTCACTTCATTTTTATTATTATATTTTCACTGCCTGTATTTCAAGAAAATTCACAAAAAATAACCAAAAGTACCTACAGACAACGCAGGACAACGGTACGGAAAAGCTCGGGATTACCAATGTAATTCTTTTTATTGTTGATTTTAATTTAGTTTTCATTTTTAATTTGTCGCACACAGAAAAAAGAAATAGGCTAAGAAATAAAGGTGACTCAATTTAGTGGAAAAACCAAACGACCGAATATAATGCTTTCTGTGATCAAATGAATTTTTATTTTCTGAAAACTTAGATGTTTACAATCCGTTTCGACAGAGTAACTGTCTTTGAAAGTAAATCAATGTCCGAAAATTCGTCTAATCTTGTAATTTATCGGTATAAAAAACGAATACGGAATCCATATCTTGTTTTTGGGCTGTAACCTTCACAGTGATTTGGTAATCGCCGATGCCACCCTTCAAAAATTCAACATTCGTATTGTGGTTGCGATCGATTTGTCCCAAGCCGACAATTTGGTTGTCTGTTGGTCGAAACGGGTAGGTGAACGTAGAAGTTGTAAGATTATTCTTTCCAGTTTTCTTTATGAATATGCCCATGCGTCCAAGTTCGTATTTATCAACATCTCCCCAAGTTTTGTCGTAAATCTGCGTGTAACCAATTGCGCTGGCGCTGGCCAAGGCACACAAACTTGCCAAAATTACAAAAATTGCGAATTTCATTTGGACTCTGTTGGTTCAATCAGTAACAATAAGTGAACTAAAGCGTTTAATTCAAACTGAATTCACTGTGAAAAATGTGCTGCTTTTATACTATGGCTTTGCGACGTTGTTTACGTATTTTCGGCAATTGTTGAATATTGAATGCAATCTATCGAGAAAAAAATTTGACTGATTCAAATCAGGCTGATAGCACCAAGCGGTACTTAAGACCAGTACTAATACTAACGCGTGCGTGCTCAACCTGACGAAATGTCTCGATTCTCGGAACCGTTGTATAATTCTGATGAAATTGCTGTTTTCTGGCTGATTAGGCCTCAATTGACGTCAATAATTGTTTTTGATGAAAGAAGACGAATGCCGTCAAAGCACATTGGCGTAGTTATCATCAAAAGCACATCGAATCAGAGATTTATCCCCGATTGAATCAGTTCAAGTGATTTGATTTGTTGCCGAAATATTTGTCAAGTTGTTGTTTATTTGTTTTCAAAGCTTTTGGACAATTAGATTAAATGACATGCATGAATTGCATTCGATTGCATTAAAAAGATTTTCGATTTGATGACACATTTTATTCCATTTCTGTTTCAGTTGAACGATTTTTATTTTTCATGTTTTCATTTACAACCCATCAATAGCAATTTCAATACACGGAGGTCAGATAGAAATTAGCCTCTGATTGCATTCATTTGTCAAATATCCAGACGAAATTTCGAACTGTAATAAGAAATTTGCAAGAGAAATTGATTTAAGAAGTAATCGGTTTATCAAACAGAAATAATATATGAAACATTTGAAAGCCAAATCTAAATTACGGACAAATTTTTCAAGAAATAAAAAGAATTTAAACCATAAATTGAGATACTGTTGAGAAATGAAAGATAAATCAACCTTGCAAAGAAATTTGTGTAACAGTTTGTGTTGTATTTCATCTTTATTGACCTAATTAATCTCGATTTTATTAGAACTTTTCTCTATTTTAATCAACGAAAATAAAATAAGCTGTATTTGGTACGATCTGTTTGCCAAGATGAAGCTGCTAGATTTCTTTCTATTCTATCCTTCCATTTGTTTCCTCATACTCTTGATGGAAGTCACGAAAACAATTCCGCTCGCGAGTGAAGCACAAGTGAACGTTGCATTTGGTACAGTAAACATGCGTCAAGGATTTACAGCCAAACATTTTACAATTTGAACGTGAATGATTTTCATCTCTGTCTGGCCAATGGCTGAACTGTGGCTCAGTGGTTTCTTCTCTGTTGTCCTGGCACTTGTTAATGGTTGCTTCGGATGTGCTTTGCACCTTTGACCCGTCACTGTCATAACCGTAATGAATATCAAATGGCAAATCTGTTAATAGAAGACAAAAACCATGTTGCAAATAGTCGATTTCCAAAAAATAAAACGTTTTCTTTGACATGTTGGTGCTCAAACATACGCTTATGTACTTTAGCATCGTTTGGATCCAAAAGGGAGAAAAAAGCTCGAGTATTTCAATCAGATGGAATCAAATTCAGATTGGGTCACTCAACTAACCTTTTTGAAGATTCTTCAGATCTAAGTTCGATCGATTCGTTGCCATCGTTTTCGGGTCTTTTCGATACCAGCGGCTGGCTCGGTCGTTTTTTGTATGTTCTTTTCGTTTCCAATGTTAATAATTCATCGGTGCAGCTGCGAATCGAATTATTTGGTCCAAGCAAATGATAATCACGAAAACAATTCCGCTCGCCAGTAAAGCATAGGTGAACGTTGCATTTGGTACAGTAAACATGCGTCAAGGATTTACAAACTTTTGATTTTACAAATGGAACGAGAATGATTCTCGTCTCTTTCTGGCCAATGGCCAGAATGTGGTTCAATTGTTTCTGCTTCTTTGTTCCGAGACTGGTTGATGTTCATTCCATGTTTGTTGTGAGTTGTTGGCATATTTTTGGCGTGTCTGGAAGAAAAACCCACTTTAAATTTAAAAAGAACGAAATGATTACAAAAATCCCTCATTCGCCCTCATTGAACATGGACATAATTCGATAGAACCTCTTCCACTAACCTTTTTTCCATCGATTTTTCAGCTTGTACTTGGTTTGCTACCGAATCGTTATCACTTTTCTTTCTTTTCGATCCAAGTTCTTTTCGTATCAAAGTACGTTGTCTTTTAATGGTTGGTTCTTTCGTTTCGACTGTGAATGATTCATCACAGCATCTCAGACTTCTTTTTTTTGATCTAGCCGGTCGTTCTCTCCGTTTTCCACCGATTAACACTTCATCTGTAGTTTTGTTGCTGTCCTCGCTTTTGTTTTCGTTGTCAAAATCGTGATCAACTATGAAATCAGCCAATGGCGAGTCATCCTCTTCGTTCCATTCTTTGATTGAATCAGTCAATTCTTCGGCATATATTTCGATCGATTCCTCGGCATTTGGTTCATCTTCAACATTTTCATCACACTGCTCAATTTTTACACTGGTTGGCTCATATTCGCTCGGTGTTGCCGCATCCACAGTGGAATCGTCATTCACAAATACACTTTCAATATCACCCTTGTCGTCTTCATGCTCCGACAAAATGTGCACCTCCAAATCGGGACTGAAAACAAATTCGCATTGACACCGTGCGCAGCAGTAAACAAATGCATTGATCTCGTTTAGCAGCAAAAGTCCACAGGCTCTCTCAAATTTATTGCGTGTGACACACATCTTACGATGACATTCAACTGTTTTCAAATAGAAATTTCGGTTTCTATTGTATTCATTGGATTTTATAAATTTTAGTCATTAATTTGCTCGTTTTTTCTTTTGTTTTACTCTTTCGCCGATACTTCGAGATCGGTTTGTTTTGTTCGTGCTGATTTGTTTGTATTCCACTAAAAATGACAACGAAATGTCAAAACAATGGAATTTTTCGGTCGAAATGGTAATTTCGAAGCTAAAGTGACATCCAAAATCCAGACGAAATTTCGAAACCTAGTGAGCAAATTCGAAATTGGCAGGTTCTCCGAGCGAGGAGTTTTCTTTGATGAATAGAAATGACACAAACAATTATTTCATGGTTTGGGACAATTGGTTAACAATAAAATAAAAGAAAAATCGAAATAAAATGCAAATTTATTGCCTTTATCATTTATTGGCTTATTTAAATCACGTGTTTAAAACAACAATTTGATGAAACAACAATTGTCTTTTCCTATATATTTTTTTCCAATCGATGTATCTGTTAAATATAGTGCCAATAAAAGTTAGTTTATTTTTTCAACCAACATGTTGTACGAACCATCTGGACAAATTTTGTTTTTTCTTTAATCAAACGTTCCATAAACGTTGGGAAAATTTGTTGGTGGCTACTGAGTGTTGTAGTTTTCACGATGTGAACGATGCTTTTTCCCCAGTTGACGCCACTGTCGATAGCTTAGAGTAGTTGAAGCTGTTTGCATCGAAAGGATTCAAACCGGTTTTCACAAACGCCGTTTTTATCAGCTCTGGTGTGAGATTTTCTTCTACACATTGATCAAGAAGCTCACAAAAATTAGCTTCTGGCATTCTTTGTAGGTCACCACATAAATTTCTGAATTCTTCTAAGTTTGATGACCATTTTTGTTTAACAGAATCGAAAACTACAACGTCCATCGGTTGACAGATATGAGTCATGTTTGGCAAGAACGATACCAAAATAATTTTGTTGTTGTAACAAAATTCACTCAGTTTTAGTGATCGATGACTGACATGACCATCCACGAAGACAATAACAGGCGTTGTAATTCCATGTTTGATAAGCCAGGGATAAAAATCATTAGAAATATAGTCGTAGAATATGTCTTGGTTCATCCAACCACTTTCAGAACAATATGCATGCCATTTATTTGGTAGCATTTGATTCACTTGATTTGGAAGGCTTTTGCCTGGGAATATGATCAAAGGTGGTGTCTTATGACCCGCAGCACTTCCTACAAAAATTAAATATGATTTGTAAGTGATGTAAGACATAGAATAATCAAAAAAATTTTTTGTACAGACATGAAATTGTTTCTTATTTTTTTACCTCCTAATAATACCGTGTAGCAGTCTGCTTCATTTTTTACCGACATTGTATAAACATTTTTAGCTCCGCGCTTCGCCAGCACTTTTCCCAAAGTTGGATTCACACAAAATGATGTCTCATCCATATTGAATATTCTGTTCACATCTTTCAAGCAATCTTCGTACCCCATTTCATTTATGAAGTCATTGATCTAAGAATTCGTTGACACATGATTGAATAAGTCGAAATATGATAGAGTCGGAGCAATTAAAATTGTTACCTTTTGATACCATTCCCGTACTTCTGTCTCAGTGGTTGGGTTTTTGTTTACCGAAATGTGTTGTGGTGTCCTCAAGGATATGTCTGGATTACGATGAAGAAAGCCATAATACCATTTATCACCCGGTTGCCATCCATCAACTGACCCATATTCCTCATTGTACTTATGCGCTTCATTTTTCAGTAGTTGAGGTGTGATTGGGAAGCCTATATTTAAGATAGATTTGAAAAAGGTGAGAACTAAATATTTTCTAAATAAAAGTGACAGCAGGCTTGAGTGACGAAAGCATTTGCAATTCAAAACGAAGAATAACTGTATTTTTCACCTGATTTTGCTGCTTCAGATATCCAATGTTTCAATTTGATTTCCAAATTTTTACCAAGATAACAAGGTCTTCCGACTGATGGTCTCTGCTCATCTATATCATTACGTTGACACCATTTTCGCAATGTTGACACATTTACATCATGCACTTGGGCTGCTCTGTATATTGTCATTCGACCTTCTTTTACATCAATCCAAGCATTTTTCAAACTATTTTTCTTCTCTTCGGATAGTTTAGTTGAACCATAATCTCGCCGCTTGTGAGACTCTGACTCTTCCTTTTTCAATGATGAAGGAGAAGTTGATGGAATTTTTTTGGACTTCATTCGAACTATCCCTGAGCTAAATTTTCCAACAAAAACAACAATTGAAAATTCAGAGTTTTTTTTTTAAATTAAAAACATAATTCAGAATAATTTTCATGGCTCAACTCACCTTTCTGGCATTGATTCTTCAGTTTGTTTTCGGTTTGTTACCGAATCGTTATCAATTTTCTTTCTTTTCGATCCAAGCCCATTTCGCATCAGAGTACTTTGTCGTCCTTTAATGATTGATTCTTTTGTTTTGGCTGTGAATGATTTATCGACGTTGTTCAGTTTTCTTTTCTTTGGTGTGGGCGGCCGTTCTCTTCGTTTTCTAGAAGTTAATACTTCAACTACGGTTTTGTTGCTCTCATTCCCATTGTTATCGTTGTCAAATTCGTGATTCACTGAGAAATCAGTCAATTCTCTGGCATTTATTTCAACCGATTCCTCGGCATTTGGCGCATCTCCATGTTCAACACACGGCTCAATTTTAACACTAGTTGGTCCATACTCGATCGGTGTTGCTTCATTCACAGTAATGCCATCATTCACAAACACATTTTCCATGTGGATTTCATCGTTTTGATGTTCCGACAAAATGTGCACCTCCAATTCCATACTATAATCAAATTCACATTGACACCGTATGCAGCAGTAAACAAATGCTTTGAACTCGTTTAGCAGCAAAAGTCCACAGGCTCTCTCAAATTTATTGCGTGTGACACACATCTTGCGGTTGAATGTCAATTGTTTTCAAATAGAAATTTCGGTTTTTATTGTATTCATTAGATTTTATTACTTTTAGTCATTAATTTGCTCGTTTTTTCCTTTGTTTTACTCTTTCAGCGATACTTAGAGATCGATTTGTATTGTTTCTTGCTGATTTATTTGTATTCCGCTAAAAATGACAACGAAATGTCAAAACAATGGAATGTTTCGGTCAGAAATGGGAATTTCGAAGTTAAAGTGACATTTGAAACTCAGACGAAATATTTCGAAACGTAGATAGCAAATTCGAAATTGACAGGAGAAATTGATTTAAGGGTTTACTTTGATGAGTAGAAATGGTTTGAAACAATTGGTTATCAATAAAATAAAAGACAAATTGAAATAAAATGCAAAATTTCAATATTTTTTTGAATTTTTATTTCTTTCATATCGTTGTAAAGTCAATTTCAATCGATTTCAACACTTTGATCCCTATTAATAAAGTGTATTAATCAAAGTTGGCCGGCCAAAAATCAACCCAAAATGAGATTTCCTTCTAAACTACATTATGAATGGTTTTCTCATGAAATCGTCGAGTTTCGTTTGTATAGAATTTTTTATCACAATGCCGACACTGCCATCTCTTTTCACCGTGGAATTGTTTATGTGTTCGTAGATACTTTTTGGTGGCATAACTCTTGCCGCAAGTCTCACAAACGTGTGGCCGGGCGCCCGAATGAAATGAGTGAATATGATCCTGCAGTTGTGATGGACAGATGAATGTTCGTCCACATTCTTTGCACGGATGCGGCAGTTTGTCCGAATGCACACGTTTGTGATGTCTCTGTTGTGAATTTAACGATGTAAACGCTTTGCCACAACGGGGACACAAAAAGGGAGTTTCACCAGTATGTAAGCGTTGATGAATATGTAGGTTAGTATTGCTTTTAAAAGCCTTGTTACAATTGTCATAGTCACATTTGTATGGATGCGAGACCGTGTGATTCATTTGCATATGTCTCTCGTAGTTCTTCGGCTTTTTCTTACATATTGGACACGGTTTTCGTAATCGATTTTCAATGTGACGCTTCATATGCAGTTGTAAATTAGCTTTACATTTGAAACGAACATTCGGGCACATATCACAGTACCACACTTTGCCATTTGGATCTATCGTTCGATTATATGCACGCTTTTTTATCGGTTGAGGTGGCCCGATAAAAAAAGGTGGCCCGTAAGAGTCATCAGATTCACTGCTGCTTTCGCTACTGAAGTTGTCTAATACAAAATCTTCATCCGTAGGGTTTTGTTCTTCCTCTTCTTCTTCCTGCTCTTCTTCGTCTTTTTCTTCTCTTTTTTGTCTTCCTTCTCGCCCTCTCTTCCGTTTCTCAACTTTTTCTTCGTTCGGCTTTTCTTCGACGGATGTATCTTGACGTGGTTGCTCACATTTTTCATCGAATTTATTCATCGATTTCAATTCTTCAGTTTTGATGTCAATTAGCCCAAGCACAAATGATACAGCGTCCATTTCTGCACATTTTTCCACTTGTAGCTCAGAAGAATCTTCCGAATTTCGATCAAAGTCATCCATGAAAATGTCATCATTCACAAAGACATTTTCAATGTGGCTCTTGTCATCTTGATGCGCTGATAAAATGTGCACCTCCAAATTGGGACCGGAATCAAAGTCACACTGACACTTTTTGCAGCAGTACACAAATGTATTGAACTCGTTCAGCAGCAACAATCCACACGCCTGCTCAATTTGATCGACCGTGAAACACATTTTGAGGCAAAAATTTAAATTGGTTGAGCCAAAAATAACCGGTGTTAATGCATTTCCATTGGATTGTTTGTATTTAGCACCTCACTTATGCCTCGTTTCTAAGAGATTTGTATTATTCTGTTCACCTTTGTTTATATTTTTCTCGTAATGACAAATGAGATGTCAAAACAATCAAATGTTCCAGTCAATATGCGAATTTCGAAACCATTTAACACTCGAATGGAATGGAATGAATGGGATGTGATATGTGAATGTGAAATCAAAATGTTTGACTTGTCAAAAAGTCCGATTGTTGTGCAAAACTGGGGAAAGTGGGTATAAACAAAATGATTCGTACAAATGAAACATTGGAATTTTTTGTTTTTTGTTTTTGTTTTTTTTTTTATTCCAAAAAAAAAATGATTTTCTTTCTTTTAGACATCGAAAGTAAACTGTGGTTTTTCTTAAATAATTAAATGATTCAAATTAATTGATCCAAAAATGAATTGTCTGCTTTCAATCGCCTACATGCAAATTCGTATTATTTCCTCGTTCAAGCAATACAACACTTGTAGCCGCTGCATTATATTATTCGACCAAATTTTTCTTCCAATTGGTGTGACCGTGCATAGCTCGTACATGTCGATGAAAGTTGAATGTCCCACTGCACACGGCTCCACATGTGCATTTCATTTTTTTACGCTTCACTTTTGGCTTCTCCACCGTTTTGAACGTGTTCGGAACAGATTTGGCCCATATCTTGGTATCTTGTGTAACATCATTTCCGTGAGTGTGTTTGAAATGTTGACGAAGTGAACCTGATTCCGAGCATACAACACCACACAACGGGCAAGTGTATTTATTCACTACTCTAGCATGCTTTAATCGTTCGTGTTTACGTAAATTTCGTTTTGCTGCGTAGCTGTGGTTACACTGTGAGCATTTGAACTAATAAGAAAAAATCGAAAAAAAAATGTGTTTAATTAAAAGTAGCCATGGCATTAGCCTTCACTGGTCGCATTAATTTGTCATACCTCTTTTTCTTTTTCTTCCTGTTCGTCTTCTTCATCGCCAACGTTTTTATTCAATGGTTCGTTTTCAATATTCTGACCTCGGAGTTTTCCTTGGTAACGACTGCCACTGGTTCTGCGTTGTCCATTGCCACTGGCTCTGCTTTGCCCATTTTCATTGGCTCTGCGTTGCCCATTGCCACTGGCTTTGCTTTGCCCATTTTCATTGGCTCTGCGTTGCCCATTGCCACTGGCTTTGCTTTGCCCATTCTCATTAGCTCTGCGTTGCCCATTGCCACTGGCTCTGCTTTGCCCATTTTCATTGGCTCTGCGTTGCCCATTGCCACTGGCTTTGCTTTGCCCATTCTCATTAGCTCTGCGTTGCCCATTGCCACTGGCTTTGCTTTGCTCATTCTCATTGGCTCTGCGTTGCCCATTGCCATTGACTCTATGGTTGCGATTTTTCGTTGGAACGCTGTAAGAAAACCAGTGTATTATCGTATAAATTTTCAACCACTTCAAATGATATTGATTTCCATGGCCTAACTAACCTTTTTGGAACAGCTTTACCAGATCGAACTTGACTGGTACGGTCACTCTCAATTTCCTTTTTCTTCGATTTCATCAGCGCACTGCGTCGTGTGTTAGTAGATGATACTTTCTTTTCCGGTGTTAATGATTTATCGCTGTTTAGTCTTGTTTTTTTCGACCGGCGCGGTCGAGTGTTGTTTTCCTGTTTCTCTTTACGATTTGAATCCTTTTTTTGATTTGGATCCTCTTTTTCCTCTTCGTGGTTGAGTTCAACCGATTCGTCAACACTTGATTCACATTGGCCAACTAATGTTGGTCCAATATCAATCATCGTTGAATCTAAGTCATGTGACTCTTCCCCATTTTCATCACACTGCTCCACTTTTATAATTGATGGCCAAATTTCGATTGCTGTTAGTCCAACGTCATCCGCAGCAATACCATCACTTACAAATACATTTTCCATGTGGATTTCACGGTTTGGATGCTCCGACAAAATGTGCACCTCCAATTCCATGCTGTAATCAAATTCACTCGGACATTTTTTGCAGCAGTAAACGAATGTGTTGGACTCGTTGAGCAGCAAAAATCCACAGGCTCGCTCAGACTTATCGTGTTTTAAACACATCTTGCCGATGATATTTAACTGTTTTTAGGCAGAAATTTCGGAAAAATCGATTTGCAAACAGAAATTATGATGTATTTTACTTTAATTACTCTTGTCATCGATTTGTGTTGTTCTGTGTTTCGTCTGTTCAAATTCAATTGCAAGTGATTAGCAAATGTCAAACAATGCAACGCTTTCATCAACACTGGAATTTCGAAATATGGACGATTTCGTATGGAATGGTCGATTCGAAATCGAAATAATCGACTTGTCAAAACGTTCGATTGCAATCTACCACTGTAGAAAATGAATGAAAATAAAAAATGTATAGAAAAATATGATTAAATTCTTTTATAAATGAAATAATGGAATTTATTAACAATAATTTTTGTTTTGTTTCTCAATAAAAAAAATTTTTTTATTGATTTTTTGTAGTTTTTTTTTTTACATTACCAACAAAATTGGCACAAATCATTATCAAAGTCCAACAACAATTTAATGATTTATTCAATGTTTAAAATGGTTTCTCTGTTCTTGTATATGTTTTAATACTTGTAATATTCATATAATGAATATTTTCATGTTTCTTTGTTCATTTCCATTGAAATTCCCAATTTTTTTTTGTTAATTTATGCATGAAAAGGTGTTTGTGAGTCATTTTCTGGTTTCTTTCATTGGAGCCTTTCTTTTTCGGTAAATCTACCAGGTTTTCACCAAATAGTTCGAGAGTATTTTTAGTGGTATTTATTTTTAGATCCAGGCGGACGTCCTCTCGGTCTAGAAGTCGATTCAGATCCGGATGTTGGTTCGAGCCAATTTTGCACTTGGTTTGAGCTGTAGATGTCTTCAAGTTGGATTTCGAATGGTTTGCAGAAGTTGCTAATGCTCGTAGAAGCCGCTTGACTATCGTGCTCTGTCGGCCAGTTGCTTATTTCGAGTGGTTGATCGCTTGGCTCGTATGCAACTGAATCATCTAATTCGATTTTGATCGGTCTAAGATTGATGATTTTGTTCTTCTTCAGGCCAGGCGGTCTGCCGCGTCGCTTCGGACCAATTGAACATATAGCATTGGATAAAATTGATTCACCAATATTGACATGGCTTTGGTTTTCGCCACCATCGTTACCACGTTTGCTGTTGCTATCGCTTCCACTGTCATCGTCGATCCAATTTCGTTGACCCGATGGCCTTTCTCGCAGTCTTTGTGGCGGCAATTCTTCAAAATCCACACCAACGATATCACTGTGATAGTGTTTTTGAGTCTTTGAGCCCCGTGGTCGACCTCGTGGTCGTTTCGGAATTGTGACATCAACGGCAGGTTTTGGGTGTTTGCGCGGTCTACCTCGTGGTTTTTTAGCAACGAGAATTCCCGACTTAACATCGAATGGCATATCTTCACCGGCGTTGAATGGTTCAGCATAGCTGAAATTGAAATCTGATTGACTGAGAGTTGCAACACTTTTTTCGGCTTTTGGACGGTGAGTATGATTTTCAGTTGAGATTGGCTCATAGCTGTGGCCATCATTGTACGGTGTCAATTCTTGTTTCATTGACGGTCGACCTCGTGGTTTCTTTAGAATCGATCCGCTGACCGATGCAAATGTTCTGGCGGCACGTTTTTTCTTATCTTTCGCTCCACGCGGCCGTCCTGGTCGACGTTTACCGACTGGATTTTGAGTTCGGTGTTGGCTCGGCTCACCTCCATCCAAATCTAATGAATAAGAATATTTGAAAGAAATTAATGAAATTCGTTGTTGTTGATAATCATGATCGGAAATGATACTGATTGGTATTTCAAATGTGGTGGAAGTCATGATTTCATAAAGAAAACCGTCTCACCATCAAAAATATCGCTGTCGTCATCAATGTAATTGTGGTTGTTATTCCATTTACAATTTCTGTCGCTGTTTCCAACGTCGACATGGCCAAATTCGTCATTGCTGGCATCGTGTCGCCACTTCCGATTACCCGACAAACGATGCTGTAACACACTTTCAAGTCCATTGGTGTTCACTTGTGTTGGTTCATCGTCGCTGCTCATTCCTTCGTTCATTGCTTTCAATTGCTGACCTCTTTGCCGTTCTGCTTTGACTGTTTTGCTGTTCAAATTGTCATGTTTACTGGATGAAGGTCGACCAAAATATTTGCTCTCATCATCAACCAACAGGTTTCTTCTACCTCTGCGTTTTTTCTTATCTTTTGCTCCACGTGGTCGTCCTGGTCGTCTTTTACCGACGTTAGCATAACCTAATAAAAGACATTTTTTTTAAAAGGGTAATTAAATTTCCAATTAATATATGTATTTAGTGGCCAAAACGGCTCAATAAAATGACTCACCACCAAATTTATCGCCTCTGTCATTGGCATCGTAGTTGTAAATACCTTCTTTGAATGCTCCAGCATTTCGTGTACCATATTTACTTTCCACCGGGATATCAATCAAATGTTTATTCTTCCGTGGCCGTCCGACTGGTCGTTTTGGAACAACCGCCGAATTTCTTGGAACAATCACTTCAACAGCTGCTGAATCATTAAAATCATCATTAAAATCGTCTTCGACCAAATAAATCGGATCATCCGGTTCAATTTTGACGTTTGTCGGATCGATTTCAATTGGTGAATCGGTCGATATTGATTCGTCCATAAAACCATCATTCGTCAAAATGCCACTTTTGTCATCATCATGCTCTGATAAAATGTGTGATTCCAAGTGTGGGCCCGATTCAAATTCAACACGGCAAACTTTGCAGCAATAAAGAAATGTGTTAAATTCGCCACGCACCAAAAATCCACATGCCTGTTCAATTTGATCGTATGTTAAACACATTTTGGCATTTAGAAAAATGCAGTCTACCGCTCGCTTTCATTACTTTGCACTAAATAAATTGCTGATTTGTTTATATTTCAGGGACAAATGTCAAACTATTACCAATGCACACATACACACACTCACGCTCTCACGCAGGTGGGAATACGAAAACCGACTGGAATGGACGGGAATTTTTCGAAATTCGAAATTGATTCGACCGATGACAGCTAAAGGAGAATTTCAATGGAATTTATTTCAAATCAATGAAAAAAATATTGTTTTTTTTATACTTTTTTAAATTATTTTTAATGTAAATAACAATTTTGTCTTTATAAGAATTTTTTTTCTCCTTTTCTGCGCTACTTTTCCTTTTACCCAATGAAAAATCCATTCACATCGCACCATGAACGCCTCGCTCGTGTTTCAGCCGATTCTCGCACAGTTTGAACATTTTGTCGCAGTACCTGCATGGCAGTCGTTTCTCTTTGTGTGTCGTTTTGTGTACGTACAGATATTTTTTGGTGCCGAAATTCTTGCCGCAAATATCGCAATGGAACGGCCGCAATTTCAGATGAACTGAGTCAAAGTGTTCTTTGAGTTGATGTGGACTGTAAAATGATGTACTACATTCCGAACATGCATGATCCCTTTTCTTCAAATGCGCTCGCATCTCGTGTTTGTATCTCGACGATTGACAACGAAACGACTTGCCACACTGGCAGCAAATATATGGCCGTTCACCAGAATGCGCTCGCATATGAATCACTCGTTGCAAATTATTTTTATACGTAGCATCACAGTGGTCGCACTTATACGGACGTGCTTCCATATGATTCACTTTCATATGTTTGTCGTAGTTTCTGGGCTTGATGTTACATATTGGACACGTTCTTTGCTGTAATGCATTGACGTGAGTATTCATATGCTGCCGTAGGTTTCCTTTGTGATTGTAAATCACACCTGGGCACATTTCACACTCGAACACAGCCAATAGATTGGGCTTCCATTTCCTTTTGCCTTTTTCTTTGCTGGGTTTTTGGCCGATTCTATCACTCTTTTTCGCTCTTTGATATTTCTTACTCGTTGATTGTGAAGAGATTTTCGTTGCTGATTTGATGCCAGACTTTTCCATTGAGGTTGATTGTAAATCTGGCATTTCGATTGATGTTGTATCACTGCACTCTGTATTGACTCGACATGGTGGGATTTTTCTTCTGGACGTTTTATTGGGAGTTTTTGAGCTTTGACCTGATTTGGTCCATTTTTGGTCTGAACTTTTCAATTTTTTGCCTGAATTCATCGAGATTTGCTCCAAATTCTTTGGAGTTTGAACCAATTTTTCTGCTTTTCTCGATCTTTTGGTCCTAGTAGCTGATAAAACCTCAATATTAGCGACTGACTCATTGCTGCTGCTGTCGTTTCTAAAGTCATAATCCATTGAAAAATCAACATCTGTCTTGCTTTCAACATCAATCGATACTTTGTCGCTTTCTTCCGGTGTTTCGACTTCAGTTTTTATGTCAACCAGCCCGATTGCCATCGATACCTCAACTGTTGGTAAACGTTCATTCGTTTTTTGGCCACCAACGTTATCCACAAATATATTATCATTCACAAAGATATTTTCAATGTGTCCCTTGTTGTCTTCATGCTCTGAGAGAATGTGCAACTCTAAATTGGGACCGGAATCAAATTCACGTTGACATTTTTTGCAGCAGTAAATAAATGTGTTGAACTCGCCCAGTAGCAAAAATCCACACGCCTGTTTAAATTGATCGATTGTAAAACACATTTTGTGGTAAAAAGAGCGGCTTTCCCACTTACTTTCATCACTTTGCTCTGAATGTTTTCTTGATTTGTTTATATTTCAGTGATAAATGTCAAACTATTCCAATGCACACTAAGATGGGAATTTGAAAACCGACTGGAATACTATGGATGGGAATTTTTCGAAATCCGAAATTGATCCGACAGCCAAAAAAGAGTTTGAATGGAATTTGTTTCAAATCAATGAAAAATACTGTTTTTTTTTTTTCCTTTTAAAAGAAAATATATTTAATGTAAATAACAATTTGATTAATTCTCTTCTTTCGAGATTCTGTATGCTGCTTTTAATTTCGCCAAATCAAATCCACTGAAATAGTAGTACCATGAATTCGTTTTTGATGTTTCAGCCGATTTTCGCGTAGTTTGAACATTTTGTCACAAAATCTGCATGGAAGCAACGGCTCTCCGTGTGTTATTTTGTGTAAGCGCACAGATCGTCTGGTGTTGAATTTTTTTCCGCAAATGTCGCAGTCGAACGGTCGTAATTTCAAATCAACGCTGTTCGTATGTTCCTTGAGACTTGCAGGACTGCAGAATGATTTACTACAGTAGTGACATGCATGGTTCTTTTTCTGTTCATGTTTTATCCTCACGTGTCCTCCTAACAGCGCACTAGTTTGAAATGATTTACCACAAATTTCGCACAGAAAGAGTTTCTCTGTCGCATGCTTTTGCATATGATACACTAGCCCAGACTTGTATTGAAATGATTTCGGACAAGAATCGCATTTATGCGGACCCACTTCACCATGGAACGTTCTCATATGTTTGTCGTAGTTTATGGGCTTACGGTTGCATATTGGACAAATTTTTCGTCGCAATGCGTTCACATGAGTTTCCATGTGTTGCCTCAATTTTGCTTTCACAGTGAAAATCCGACCCGGGCAGTGTTCACAGTAGAATATAGGCGGCAAATCGGGTGTCGATTCTGATGTGGTTTCTTTTGGTTTTTTGCTCTCCGACTCTTGGATTGACGCTGGTGGAAAAACTGGTGTTTTGATCGATGCTCTACCGCGGCACGCTTTTACGATTTGACTTATCATTGGGATTTGAATTGAGTTCTTTTTTCTTATTGGACACATTTTTCGTCGCAATGCGTTCACATGAGTTTTCATGTGCTGTCGCAATTTTTGTTTCACAGTGAAAAACCCACCCGGGCAGTGTTCACAGTAGAATACAGGCGGCAAGTTGTGTGTCGATTCTGAAGTGGTTCCTTTTGTATTTGTGAGGCCATACCCTTGGACTAATGTTGATAAAATAACTGGTGTTTCGTTCGATGCTCTACCGTGAAACGCTTTTACAATTCGACTTATCATTGGGATTTTTGTTGTTGAAATATTTTTGGAAGTGTTTGAAATTTTATCGGAATTTTTCGATGTTCCAGCAGATATCTTCGATTTTTGGTTTGAACTTTGCGATTTTTGGCCTGAATCCATCGGGTTTGGTTTCTTCACATTTTGATCCAGAACATTCATATTTTCCGCTCTTTTGGTCCGATTAACAAGTGGAACGTCAATGGCAACAACAGATTCATTAGCAGTAGAAATCATTTCCAAGTCGTTTCCAAAGTCATCATCATTTACATTGCTTTCAAATGCAGCCGATATTTTAAAGCTTTCTTCTGCTTTTACATCGACCGGTTCGCCATCAATCAATACTTCCTCTGTTGCTAAAAATTCATTCAGTTCTTGTCCACCAACATCCACAATAATGTCATCGTCCACAAACCCATTTCCAATATATGCCTTGTCGTGTTCATGCTCCGAGAGAATGTGCACCTCCAAATTGGGCCCGGAATCAAATTCACAGTGACACCTTTTGCAGCAGTAAATAAATGTGTTGAACTCGCTCAGCAGCAAAAATCCACACGCCTGCTCATATTGGTCGATCGTGAAGCACATTTTGTAGTAAAAAAAGCGGTCCACCACTAGCTATTATCACTTTGCTCTGAATAGTTTGTTGCTTGGTTTATATTTCAGTGACAAATGTCAAACTGTTCCAATGCACACACACACACAACGGAGTGAATTCGAAAACCAACTGGAACGGACGGAAATCTTTCGAAAATCGAAATTGATTCGACAGCCAAAGGGTTTGAATGAAAAATGTTCAAAGCCAATATATAAATTACGACTTTTTATTTGGATTCGGTTTATTTATTTCATTCGATTTCAATAACAATTTTCGATTTTTAGCACTACATGAAATGTAGAGCTACTAATCTGCGTTTTTTTTTTCTAATACTTTTTCGAGCCATGAACAGAATTAGAGTGGCTTTCAATTTTATGCTCATATTTTTTATTCAATTCAAACTAGTGGCAGTAACGACAAATAAGTGCATAGTATCTCGAAACGCTAATCAAATTTTTATTATCAAATGTTATTCAAAATTTACATTACTTTTTCCTTTTTTTGTATAGTACTCTTTTACCCTTTAGTATAAGTAATGGTTGAGATAAATTCTATGCGCATATTATTTATTTGATTTAAAGGAGTTACATTAATGAACAATAACGTATAATAAAACAATGGTTTAGTTAAATTGATTTAATATCATATGTACTATCAAGAATTAATTCCCTTTTTTGATTATACATCTTTTCATCATACTTTTATCATTCATTTTACTTTAGGAATCGATATTCGCAAAACAGAGATGACTACAAATGCATTTCGTTATTATTTTTTTGTTATTTGTATATATCAAAACATAACAAAAATAGTAATGCAAATGAAAAATTAAAAAAACAACAACAACTGAATATGGTTACACAAGATGTTTTTATTGCTTTCCATATTTCCAATTTATGATATTACTTCTTTTTCTTCTTTAAAGAAAGAACATTCTCGAACGATGAATCCAGAACATTCTTCTTACGCTTTAATGAATTTGCACTATCACTATCCATTCTCTCAGACCCTTTTGGTTCTACTTTCATCTTTTTGGACTTCTTGAAATTGGTAGACTTCTTTTTTCGTTTTGATACTGATTTAATTTTAATGTTTTCAACAGATATAATTTCACGCATTACAACGTCAATATTTTCATCATCAGAAAAGTTCATTTCGTGGATTTACAAATAATTTTAACCAAACTAAAATTACAATTGGAATTGACATTCAAATCAAAAATATAATTCAAAGACTACTTTCATAAAATACATTTCATGTAGTGCGCCAATAAAATAGTTTGTTGTGGAACAACAAAATAGAAAAAGTATCTATAAACTCAAGAACGCAGAGCGGAGCGGAGCGACGCTCTGCGGTCTTGTTTTTTATTCTGTTGATTCTCACTTTCAATGAAATTTTTTTTTTAATTTTCTCTCCATTGGTTTCAAGACTTCATTCATTCATAATTTAGAAAATGGAGGAAACCAACAACAAAGCAAAATCCGTTTCATTTCTAATAAAATAATAATGACAAAAAAACGTAGAAAATTTTCTTAATTTCTTTTCTGTTGAGATTCTGTGTGCTGCTTTTCATTCCGCCCAAATGAAATCCGTTCACAGAGCACCATGAACTCGTCTTTCGTGTTTCAGCCGATTTTCGCACAGAGCAAACATTTTAATGCAATATCTACATTGGAGTTTCTTCTCTTCGTGTGTCTTTTTGTGTGTGCATAAATACTTAATGGTCTTGAAACTTTTATCACATTTGTCGCACTTAAACTGTCGCAAATTCCGATGAACTGCATCGAAGTGTACTCTGAGGCTATAAGCAGCATAGAATAATCCACCACATTCGGTACACTTATGATCCTTTTTCTTTAGATGTGCTACCAACTCGTGTGCTCGCATTTGCGAACTAGTTCCAAATGATTTCCCACAAGTGCCGCACAGATATTGCCTTTCTTTTGTGTGCGTTGGTGTATGATTCTCTAGCCCAGACTTGTATTTGAATGATTTTGGACAAAAATCGCATTTATGCGGGCCCACCTCCATGTGGTTTGTTGTCATGTGTTTGTCGTAGTTTTTGGGATAAGTCTTGCATATTGGACATTTTTTTCGCCGCAATGCAGTGAGGTGAATGTCCATGTGCCGTCTCAATTTTGCTTTCACAGTAAAAATCCGATCTGGGCACAGTTCACACTCAAATACGAACGGAAAGTCGAGTGCTGATTCTGAAGTGGTTTCTTTTCTATTTGCGATGCCAGAACTTTGGACTAACGGTGATGGGAAATCTGGTGTTTTGATTAGTGTTTTACTAGTGCTTGCTTCATTGATTCGACGTGATGGCATTTTTCTTGTCGATGCTCTACCGTGGAACGCTTTTACAATTCGACTTATCATTGGGATTTTTGTTGTTGAAATATTTTTGGAAGTGTTCGAAATTTGATCGGAATTTTTTTTCGATGTTGAACTTTGCGATTTTTGGCCTGAATTCATCGGGTTTGGTTTCTTCGCGTTTTCATCCAAAACATTCACTTTTTTCGCTCTCTTGGTCCGATTAGCAATTGGAACGTCAATGGCAACAAGAGATTCATTTCTGCTGCTATCGTTTCCAAAGTCATCATCATTTACTTTACTTTCAACTGCAACCGATATTCTATAGGTTTCTTCTGGTATTTCCTTTTCAGTTTTAATATGGACCGGTTCACCATTAATCAAAACCTCCGCTGTTGGTAAAAGTTTATTCGTTTCATGTTCGCTGACATCATCCATAGAAAAACGTCCATCGTCCACAAATCCATTTCCAATGTGTGCCTTATCGTTTCCATGCTCCGAGAGAATGTGCACCTCCAAATTGGGACCGGAATCAAATTCACAGTGACACCTTTTGCAGCAGTAAATAAATGTGTTGAACTCATCTAGCAGCAAAAATCCACACGCCTGTTCATATTGATCTATTGTGAAACACATTCTAGGGCAGATTGTTGGACTTTTTCACCAAAACAACTTTACGCTTTGTCAATCGCTTTACAAAAATTCCAAATTACTTAGAACCAATTACTTATTTCGTCCTTATCAATTACTTATCTCGTCTGGCTCCACCTGTATTATATGAATTTTCCGATGGATTTGTGTCGTTTTTACGTGTTTCACGACCTATTTGTGTTGAATTGTTTATTTACACTATGAAATGTCAAAATGCGGCATTGAGACGAGATTCAAGTGTCAAAGTGTATTCGAACGAAATGTTGACATTCAAAATTCCATGATAAATTTCGTCTAAGCTTGGAATTTCGAAACGCATAACATTCCTGTAGTTGATACTTTTATGCGGAATATTATCCGTGTTCATATGGAATCAAGGATAGAAAGAAATGAATGAAAAATAAAAATAAAAAGATTATTGAAAGAAAAAAAGGATGGTTTTAATACATTTTTTTTCTTTGGACCACCCAAAAATATATTTGAGACCGAATGAAGTGAAATCATATAAAGTAAATGACGTTTACGTGAGAAAAACGCCTAAAATTATAGAACCTATGAATAAACATCCAAATTGTGTAATTTAAAAACGAACTGAACTCTCTTTCACCTCTGAAAAATAGTTCCAATAGAAAACTTCAATTTCTTGTTAATCAATGTTTATAAACATATTCATACGTGTAAATGTGATGTTGATTGACATTGTTTAACTTATTTATTAAATGACAACTGATTTGGTAATGTTGAACATGAAACCAAAGTAATTTCTTCTTCTGGTGTTTCATCCTCTAATTCATGCTGCATCCGTTGATGTTGACGACGAGCCTTATACGTTTTAAACACCTGCGGGCAATATTTGCACTTGGGCTCTGTGTGAAATTTTGCATGACTACGTAAGCTTCGTTCCGCAGCAAACGATTTGCCACATTCGTTGCATTTGTGCGCAAAATGCGTTTCGATTTTCAAATGAGCTTTGTTCACATGCCTGGCGAGGAGAGTTTTTGTAAAAAACGGTCGATTGCAGTATTCACAAATATTTTGCGCCCCTTTCAAGTGCTTTAACATTTCGTGACGACGCCACGTCGCCTTACAACCGAAGGTTTTGAAGCAAAACTCACATTCGAACGGCTCTTCACCGGCATGCATTCGTAAATGTCTCGTGAAACCGCTGTGAGTCGAAAATGCTGCATCACAGTCGTTGCATTTGTACGGCTGTTTCATCTTGTGATAGCCTTTCATGTGTTTCTCGAAGTTTGTATACTTTTGGCCGCATGTCCGATAGGTACAAACGTAGAAAATTTTCTTTTTGATATGGATATTCATGTGATTTCTGATTTTTCGCTTGTCATTGAATTCGACCTGCGGACACCATTCACAATGGAATAATTTGGGTGGTGTTGATGGCTCAGCTATGATTTCTCTCTTTGGCCCTTTCTTTGTCTGTTCTTCAGTCGATTTTTTCGCTTTTTTCTCCGTCTTTAATACTGCTTTAAGCTCATGGATATCACTTTTGCTTGTGGTTTCTGAAAAAAATTGTCGAAAAATTAGTCTAAAATTAAACACTCAAAATGCAATTTATAATTGATACCATCAATACGGTTGTTTTTACCATCATTTCCATTATTCAAGGACAAATAAGAATTTGGCTCCAAATTTTCTCCGATAATTACAATTTCATCTTTCACAGCATCGTCTTCCAAAACATCATTCTCTGTTTTTATGTCAAATGGCTCTAGTTTAATGGCCATTGTGCCGGTTGTGTAACAATTTTCCACTTCTTGTCCATAGTCATCGTCCACAAAAGTCTCATCATCAACAAATACACTTTCAACGTGGCTCTTGTCGTCTTGATGCGCCGATAGAATGTGCACTTCCAAATAGGAACCAGAATCAAATGCACTCTGACAACTTTTGCAGCAGTAAACAAAGGTGTTGGACTCGTTCAGCAGCAATAGTCCACAGGCTCGTTCAATTTGATCGACCGTGAAACACATCCTGGGCGAAAAAATTAGATATTTTTAGAAAATTGATTGATTTAATTTTTATTAATGGAGGAAACGTTGGTCTTAATGCAAATGTCTTCAATTTGGTAACTCATTTTTTGTCACTTATGCCCGTTGTAAGTGGTGTGTATCATTTTTCCGCATAAAGTTTATGAATGACTAATGACAAGTGACTTATCTGAGACATTTTGACTCTCTTTTGTACGTACTATGATTGGAATTTCTAATAGTGTGTAATCACTGTAAGAACTGAGTACTGAGTATACACAGTCATAGCTGACCGATTTGATCGACTAAGCCGGCTAGCTTAATAGAATTGGTTCAAAGTTGATAAAAATGCATTGGAATTCCAATCACAGCACGTACAACAATCCAGTGAAAATGTTCCAAATTATTCAACTGTTTCAATCACTAGTCACTTATAAATAGTATGTTGTAATGGCTAATTAGTTGCCAATATCTTTTCCGTAGGAAGATTTATATTTTTTATGCCTTTTCTTACTTTTCAGGTAGTTTGTCTTGTATTTTGTTGCGTTGTTTATACTCGACTGAAACTATAGCTGTATGAAGTGTCAAACATTTCGAACAATCACAATGGAATTACGAAAAACCTCTGCAATAGAGATTACGCATTTCGAAGTGTCGAAAAATCGAAATGTCATATGCAACGTCTACGCTCGACTGAAGTGCAGTTTCCATGGAATCTGAAGGAGAAGTAAATAAACAATCGTTGAAATTGTTGATTTCTACTAATGTTGAAAAAAAAACCAATTAAAAGAATCACATGCCAAAGGCTGATTCGATAAATTTCTCCATTTATTTCTCTTCAGAATTAAATCATTCGTCTTAAAAAATTTCGAAATTTTCATTTATTTCTTTAATATTTTCATTTTCTTCTTTTTCGTTCTCTTTCACCACATTTCTTTTTTCATTCGTTCGCCTGCGACGATCTTTTTTTCTCTCTCTCTCTCTCTCTCTCTCTCTCTGGCTTCATTCATCGCAATGAATAATAATAATTATTGCTTAAACATCAAATAGCTTGGTATCAGAAGATTATTGCAATCCATTTCCACTAAACAATTTTATGAACGGCTTTCTCATGACTTCGTCTTGTTCGATTGGTTTTAAATTTTTTCTCACAATATCCACACTGTTTCGTCCGTTCGCCATGAATTAGTTTATGATTCCTCAGATTGCTTGTAGTAGAGAAAGCATCACCACATATGTCGCAGACAAAAGGTCGTTGACCAGAATGAAATGCGTAAATATGCTCCTGAAGACGACACGGAATGATGAATGCCCGGTCACATTGTGGACACTGATACTCGCGAATTTTTGTGTGCACTTGTTTTATGTGTTTGGTTTTTGAACTCAACGATGTGAAGTCTTTGCCACACGTTTCACATAGAAACGGTCGCTCAAGCGTATGAACGCGCATATGATTCAGTCGATTGTTATTGGTCCGATAGCAATTTCCGCAAAAGTCACATTTGTATGGCCTTTCTTCCAAATGATTCAATCTCATGTGCTTCTCAAGATTTCGCGCCTTTTTATTGCAAATTTGGCACCTTTTCGTTAGAAATCGATTGTCGCGGTGTTTTCGCATGTGCGCCTGAAGAATGTTAAATGTACTGAGAGTGATGTCTGGGCACATTTCACAGTAGTACACTTGCTTAGGTCTTGACTGCCCTTTCAGTTTTTGTCTATCCGAATTTCCCTCTTTGGACTTTTGGTTCTTTGTCGCAGTTTTGCATCGTTTTGACTTCTTCGGTTTCAATTTGGCCAATTCCTTGTCGATGATTGAATCATGACTTTCTTTGTCGGAATCGAGTAGAGCTGAAGTAGTAGTGGGACTTTGACTGATTGGTTTTAATTCAAATCCATTCCTGAGTTTTATCTCTTCGCTTTGTAAATCTTCATCACTTTGAACCACGCCTCCCTTCGTGGTAACATTTGCATCAATTTTTATCTCTTTGTTAGTTTTTCGCTTATTTTTTGTCTCTTCGGAAGCTTTTCGCTTGTATTTCATCTCTTCATCAGTTCTATGCTGATTTTTCGCTTCAATTTCGCACCGTTGTCCATATTTCTCTTCAACTGCCTGAATAATCAACTCAATTTTGGATATTGAACCATGTTGTAGAGCTTCGTTAGTAACTTCCGTTGAGAAGTCTTGCAATGGTGGTTCAAGAGTACAATCCTCCACAAGAATGCCATCGTTCACAAACAGATTTTCAATGTGTGTCTTGTCGTCTTGATGCTCTGATAAAAAGTGCACTTCTAAATTGGATCCAGAGTCATATTCACACTGACACTTATTGCAGCAGTAAACGAAGGTGTTGGACTCGTTCAGCAGCACAAAACCACAGGCTTGTTCGATTTGATCGATTGTGAAACACATTTTGGGACTGAATTTAGTTTGTCGATAGAAATCACGCCAGCCAATGGATTTAGTTGGAGTCTTTAGCAGAAATTACACTTTTCCCCTAGTTGTCATCAATTTACACTGAGGTATTCGTGGATTTGTTTATACTTTAATAACAAATGTTGAACTTAGCAACCATTTGTTGGATCAATAACGATGAATTTCATTAATTGTTCGTGATTGAAAGTTGATTTATGTCCAATAGGTGTGCTTTTATATCACATCTTCAGCCTTTCCTTTGCTGCTTTAATTTTGTTTATTTTGGTCGATTTTCAATCCTTCGTTGATGCAATTTCGAATATTCATAGTAAAGAAATCCAAATTTTATTACTTCTCCCATCAATTTATCTCAATTTTCCAAATTTTTACCTTTTTTTCATCGAATATTGTGCATCACTCCTAAGTTGTTTGACGTTTCTACGTTTGTTTACGTTCCTCTAGCAGCAACGGAGTGTCAAAACCATCGAAAATGGAATTAAAAACTGGAACTTCGAATCAAATCTGACGGAATAATTGTTTTTCGTATGGAATTTCGAACGTTCAAATTACGAAGAAGAAGAAGAAGGGAGAAGTGAAATTGAGCAGAAAAAACCACAACTGAATGGAAAAAGAAAGTGAATAATAATAACGGGGGCATCGTCCGAACAATCAATTTTTTTTTTCTTCTTCTGTGAAACCAGTTTTATTTCTCATCAAAACATGAAACAAATGTAAATCAACCGATTACTGTCGGTAGAAGAACAGGTTCTGACTTATAATTAATTGCGAATTTTGTTTTCGTTTGGCAAATTTATGGAATTTCGCGCATTCGAGCACGTTTATCGGAATCTGTTTGTTTTGCTTTTTTTTCCATTCTAGTAAACTTATTTATTTTTTTAAAATTTTAATGAATTATTGAATTGTTTTCACTTGACAATTTCATTGAATTTCATTTATTTGGCATATTTTACTCTATGGATTCTTCTGTCTCGTCGAATTAATTCCTAAATTCTTATCATTATAATAACAAGCACCGATTGATTCTAAACAAATAACGTTGTTTTATGAAAAATCAGTTTATATTGAATAATTCAATCTCTTTTCCCAAATATCAAACCAACTAACCAATTGCCCAACATTTTAAATTCCATTCCCCGGTAAATCTATATCAACAATTTTTCTTTTACTTTTAAAATTAAGTAAAGTTAAATAACTTTTAATCTACTTGGAGCCTAATCACAATTTGAAATCCTTTCTTCGGAAAGAACTTCTTTGATCTGAAACTTTTCTCCAGCATCGATTCGATTCAATCGAAGAAGTTCTCCAAATATCACCTGCAGCCAACACCGATCAAAAAATAACATCACCAAACTTAAACTAAAAATGTAATCAACAAAAATGCATAACAACTGGCAAGAAACGGTAGATATCTACGTTGGAATAATCTATTAATTTATATCTATTAAATGCATTTGGATTTTAAACAACGACGTAATAAATTGATAACATTAGAAAAAAAATTTAGACAAAAATCGAAAGTCACAAAAATATTAAATGAAAAATCAACAAAACAAATGAAACCAAATCTCAAGTTGATATTATCAACCAAAAAGACTGATAAACAGAATCTGTTTGACAGATAAATATCTAAAAATGGAACAAAAAGACGCAAAAACATCGGTTGAAAATTCAATATTGTAAACAAAAATCGAGTAAAAGGTAAAAAATATGTCGAAGAAGTAAAAAAAAAAACAAAGTATCGTACAACAATTTTCACGTAGAGAGCATCAAAATGAGTATTTGTACCGGTAAATAAAAAAATATTTCGTATGTCATGTTTATCCAGGACGCCTCTATGATTCTTATGAAATAACTAAACTTTTTTTCGTTAATAATGCACACCCCTAACACGGTCGCCTTACAAAATCGTCTAAGTACATTTTTTTCTCGTTTATCTCCTTGATCAAAATCTCTTCAATTCTTTAGATTCACTTCTTTGTTTTCAGTTTCGTTCAAACTCATATTAGAACTCTATAGAGCTCTCAATCGAATCTCATCAAACGGCTTTATGAACGGTTCTCTCGTGCCACCTCCTCGTTTCGGTTGTTTTAAACTTTTTCTCGCAGTATTTGCACGGATGTGTTTTTTCACCGTGCGAGAATTTATGTTTGCGCAGATATTTCCTCGTCGAGTAGCTGTTGGAGCATATTTCGCATTTATAAGGTCGTTCATCTGAGTGAAATGCATAGCAATGCTCTTGAAGCTGTGACGGGCTAATGAATGATCGATTGCATTCGTGACACTCATGCGGTAGTCGTTTTGTGTGCATTCGCATATTGTGTTTGCTTCGTGTGTCTTGAGACACAAATGATTTGCCGCAGTGATCGCAAATGAATGGCCTTTCGCCTGTATGCGAACGCATGTGAATAACTCGATTTGAATTGTTTTTGAATGCTGCACAACAGTAGTCACATTTGTATGGATTGCCTTCCATGTGTGTGAATTGCATGTGTCTATCGTAGTTCATCGGTGTTTTCAAGCAGATTGGACACTGTTTTCGCACTTTGTTTTTGATGTGACGTCTCATATGCTGTCGCACATTCTCTTTGCAACTGAATGACACCTTATTTTTTGGACACATATCGCAATAAAACAATTCCGATGTTGAATCGTCGTTTCTTCTGCGCCTTGTCCGCTTCTCTGGTGATGGTTTTACATTTGGCGGTTTCACTTCGATTAAATCTTCACTATCACTGCTGCTGCTGCTGCTGCTGCTGTCTACGACCAAGTTCATTGACTGGATTTTATTCTCAGTTAATGGTCCATTTGACACCTCTTCGGACGTTGTTGTGGTATTTTGCTTATTTTCGATGGATTTTTCCTCTTTTGGATCAACATTTTCGCAGAGTTCTTCCTCTTTTTGCTTTTTATTCACTGCTTTTTGGTCGGAAGCAGCAAATTTTGGTTCAAATGTGGTGCAATTTTGCTTACACTTTGCAGATTTTCGTTCAAAACTCTCACATTTTTGCTTCAAATTTCCTTCTTCCTGCTTGAAATTCACTGCTTTTTGCTCAATTCTTTCAGCTTTTGGTTCACCATTGTCTAGAAACTGTTCACGATCGTCTTGATCCACTGGCTCCGCTTTAATAGTCACTATCAACGGTGATTCCAACACTCCATCGTTCACGAAAATATTTTCCACATGCTTATGATCGTCGGAATGCTTATGTAAAATATGTGATTCCAAATCCGCACCCAATCCAAATTCACTTGAGCATTTTTTGCAACAGTACGTAAACACACTGAACTCGTTTAATAACAAAAATCCACAGGCTTGGTCAATTGTTAAACACATTTTAATCAAAACAGCAGCCAAATCATTCTACGTCCATGCCGAGTGCTGGTCGAAGTGTTTATGTTTTAATCAGCTTTGCTGAAACCGATGGTAAAAATAGGCATGCCAATTCCAATGCGAAACTGGAATCTTCCAATCAAATGTCACAACAATCATTCGCATTGTTCACTTTTTTCAGTTTCCAGAACTTTCCATTTTTATTCATTCCAGCATTTCTAGTGTTCTCGTTCCAACTTCCAATATTGAGTATGGACTGAGAGAAGGGGCAATTGTATTGATGTTGTAAAATCTGATGATTAATTACAAGAAAATATTTGAAATTGAAAGATATTCTCTTATTTTTTTATATTCAGACTGGAAATTTTTTAGCGGTTTCAACATACATTCGTCCATTTTTTCAATGCAACTTTTATTTCATTTTCATATTGACTTCAAATCATTAAACCACAACTTCATTTTCTTAGCATTTTGATTTCAATAAGGAAAACGAAGCAAAATTTTTAAACATTTCTTGTGCAAAAATCTTGATGAATGAATTGATACGTCTCTATTCTCTAACCAATTCGTTTTGATTTTAGAAGTAAGAAAAATAAATTATGAATGAAGAATTTAATTAACTACATTTCATAAGAGATTAGATTCAACGTTGAATGGAATAAGCTTCAATTTCGAATCACCCAATGAATTTAATGAAAATATTCCAGTCTAAGTGCACTGAAAGTTGTTTTTTTGAAAATTTTCAAGTTGAAATTTTCAACCAAGAAGCTAAAAAAGTCATCAAGAAATGCATCAGACAAAATGTTAGTAGGACTGGATGGAGCTGACTTTTCGGCATATGTCTCAGAAAAAAAATTCCTTCTTTTGAGATGCCAAAATGAACGCACGCCCACATTTTTTAATTGTGTACGAATTTAACAATCGATCCACCCTATTATACATTCAAGTTTATGGGAGTGTTCAAAACTGAAGAATGTTTTTTTCCGTTGAATACAAGTGATAAGCACATGACAAATACCCTAGAAGACCTTCAAAAAGTTCCATACACACATGCCAATGTTTATACGATATAAAAGAAAAAAGTCGATTTTTATGAAAAATCGACCCCCTTAAATTTCACACCAAACGCGATTTCTCAAAAATCAGCCCGACAATCTTTTATCAAAAACTGAGCGTTTGTAGCCGGCTACCATACCAACAAAATGGCATATGCCACATATCCGAGAAAAGGCATTCTTGGCATAGGCAATTCATCAATGAACGGAATTTGAACGAAGAGTCGCATTCTACGATGTAATTGCTGCCAAAAATACAAATCTACTGGCTGAAAAAGGCTCACGAAAGACCATATCCGCTCAATTTTCGACGAGCAATCGATTAAAAGTGGTCACAATGCGATCTGAGGGCATTTCATGGTCGAAAAATAGGTTGGATTTAAGTGAATTTTTCAACTTGCTCTATTTTCACTGAAAATGATGTTTTTGTCCGGAAAACACGTGAAATAGACCTCTGACGACATTTTGGTCTTAGAAAACTGCTATTTTTTCGTGAAAATAATGGGAGTCCACGAACACTTGAATATCCATTTCGTTGTCATTTTGGTCATGAATCGGCATTTTGGCATCTGAATGTATGAAATTGAACTTTTGCTCGGGGGATACATAAAAAATGCACTTTCCAGAGCTTTGGTGGTTGGGAACTAATATTTTTTAATGAAATAATGAGAATCCACAATCGTTTCAACACTCTTTTTATGGTTATTTTGAAATTTAATCATATTTTACCGCATTTTATAATGTGCAATTAGAGGAAATTGGGACTTTTTCAATGGTAGTGGAAATTAGATAGTGCAATCTCCAGAACTTGTCAAATTAGAATGCAAATGTGTTACCCAGGAAATTGCAATTTCCTGATAATAAGACCTTAAAATAGACATACTTCTGGTAAAAATGTATTTTTCCAAAAAAAAGCCTTACAAAAGTAGTGATATCAGATGAAAAACCTCTAGACGAGGTTAAAATGGAGTGACGTGGATTTACCACTCAAAATGACTGATATCATTTTGAGTGACGCTAGGACGCTGTATTACAGGGAACGAAGTTCAAAAGGGTTTTTCGCATTCACTATTGTGAAAATTTATTTACAATAAGGAAAAATATCGCGTCACGATTTTTGAATTTAGTCTTCAAGTCAAGCTTTAAAGCGTTTTGCCGTCCAAAAGTCGTGACGCGATATTTTTCCTTATTGTAAATAAATTTTCACAATAGTTAATGTGAAAAACACTTTTGAACTTCGTTCCCAGTAATACAACGTCCTAGCGTCACTCAAAATGATATCAGTCATTTTGAGCGGTAAATCCACGCACGGAGCGTCACTCCATTTCAACCTCGTCTAGAGGTTTTTCATCTGATATATATCAAGAAAATTGACAAAAATAAACCAGATTATACAGATAGAAATTATCTGTTCATCCAAAAATGGCAGAAAAGTTTGGGATGACGAATATAGTTAACTCTTTTTATCTGCCTTATGATGCCGATATCGAAAATATATGCATTTTGAACACATTGATATATTTTCAGTAACGTTCTGAAATGTCTATCGAAATTGAATGAAAACAATTACATATTTAATATTATCGTTGCAATTTGCCTCAAAAACAATCTTCAGTAGAACATAAATGAAATGGAATATTCTTTAATTTTGTATCAAGGAAAACGCTATTTCAATACAATGTATTACTTATATTACTTATCTGAACATTTCAGAGTGTTTACATTGAAAAATCGTTGATTTATGAAGTGCGGACATCGTGAAGCGATAAAAAACCATAAAACCGACAATTTGTCGGCGACAAATGATAAAGAAACAGTTTATTTCATACCAAATCGAAAGCAGCATGAGGATAAAAAGTAGTTTATGTGTTATCTTTATCGTGCATATGAGCAGAAAGCAAAGACGAACTCATTTCGAAACACTTCAATTTCTAATAACGCTTGGGCAGCTGCGATGTTTTATCGAATTGTGTATACGAGTGGTGTAAATGTGTATTGTAATTGTGGCTACTTCAACGGAATAAATTTTAGATTAGATTCTCTAAGTTTTTAGTTTCACACGAAAGTACAATTCAGTTTCTAGTCAGCGAAGTTGAATTTTTTCCTAGGACAGCGCCCGTTCTGCGAATAAAAATACATTCATTTGCGACTGAATGTTCAAATGAGCTGGCTGGGTTGTTAAGTTGAAGTTAAAGTTACGAACATTTTTCGTTGAGTGCGAAACGATCACGAGAGCAAGCTACTAATAAAATCATTTATTTTTTCATCTTGGTATGGTGTGATGAACTTTTCATTCTTATTTTGTCGTTGCAACAAATTTCAATCAAATTCGGTGTGTAATTTCAATAGAATTGTGATACCAACTTTAAACTTGTTTGCTAAATTTATTCTAATTTCTATTTGGCAGCTGTTTCATTTCTTGGCTTGAACAATAATCGAATTTGTGAGGAAGAATCAAATTTGGACCCTCATACTATTCTAAATTTATATTTAGTGGAGCTTACGTAAGTATTTTTCAATTCATTTTCATACAGAATCAAAAACAATGAAGTTAAAATGTTAACTTTACTTGCGAACGGTATATAAATATATGTACATTAAGATGTACGTCGCATTTGTCATAGTTAATACCAATACAACTAGTCAATGAGAAATATCCGGAGATATATGCCAAGCATAGAAACTCAGCAAACTGAGATTGGAAAATTTTGATTTTGTGACTTGCCATTTGTGCAAATTTATGTGGGAAGTGAATTTGGGTCACATTTTTCAATGTTTCCAATCACATTTTTTCTGCCATAAATTCACTTTACCACAGATATTTGCATGGATAACAAGTCATACAAACAAAATATCCCAATCTCAGCTTGATGAGTTCCTATGCTCAGCATATATCCTCAACTATCTCTCATTGACTGAACACAACGAATACAATCGAAGCTAAAGTCGTGGCGGTAGACGTGTATGTCACGCCAAAGTAATTTTGGAATAGGAAATATGAAAATTTTCAATGAAAAAGAGCTTTAATTTTGTATGATAAATAGAAAATTAGTTAGTTTTCTTTCATTTTTGGCTTTCTAGTGTAATGAACATGCTTAAAACGAGAGTAAATAATTGTGTATATGTATCGTATGACTCATATAAAAAAGAATTTCATCCAACTCGTTTATTTATTGAATAAAATTAAACAAGAAAAACAATTGCTGAAAGAACTGGTTTTCCAAGTCCTTCGTCAATTTTATGATATTCATTCTAGTCATTGCATGATGGATCATTGTTGATTCATTCCAGACCCTGTCGTTTTCGGGATCTTACCTTCTTCTTATCGTGAAATTCATTTTTATTTCATACAACGCAGTTTGACTTGAATTTTTTTTCAACGTGCACTTATTTATAAGTCAGTTTGAAGCTATTTCACGTCAAAAAAAAATTAGAAGTCGAATTGCGTTGTATGAAATAAAAATGAATTTCACAATAGGAAAAATAGTAAGATCCCAAAAATAACAAGCCTTGATTCATTCATTTGATGGCTGTTGCGCCTTAAACATCAACAATGTAAACAGCAATGCACTTCGTATTATAAACAAATATTGCAATTCAGCGATCGGTTTTCCCCACTAAACTGATAAAATAAAATTACCATTTCAATTATCCAGAATGTACATGAATAAGTTGTGAATCACATGTTCATTTCTCGAATCGAAAGTCATACATAGATGCTGTGTGCGACTGTATGAATCGCTTAACACAGCCGCAAAGCAATCGCGTTGTAATACAACGTGCGTTTGTTGTATTTGATACTTGGGGGAATTCATTTACAGAAATACCCATAGTTTGCAACGGCTGAGTATACAAATCGACTTTTATTATTATTACTTACTTAGTACGTGATCGCCTTTTGATTTTAAAAGCTGAGTCGGTTGTGAAATTGCAATGAAATGCGCAAATGATAATTTTCCAATTTTCTGTATGATTATTTAATTTCAATCTCAAAACTGAGTGAAACTACTTGTCAAATTAGACAAATTAGACAACGTATGCAAATGGTCACTCAATTTACAAATAATTGAGTTAAATTTACTCATTCACTGAGTGAATATGGAACAAAATATTTGTTGTGAAAATCTCAACATGTGTTGGAATTCGTCACATCACAATATTTTGCTGCGCGAAAATGATTTTATTTTTCTCTGTGTTCAAAATGCACATTTTATCAATGATTCGTTTGTTTTCATTCAATCGATAAAAAGCATTAAAACTTCACTGCTGCACAAATAATTCAGAAAAAAATACGATATAACTAGTTGATAGTTTTCGATTTTCAAGTTGGACGTTTTTTCTTTATTCTGTAGAAAAGCATCGTGCTAATAATTGATTTTAATTTTTGTAGTGTTTTGACTACAAATTTGGTGAGTTAATTATAGAGAGAGCCACGGCATAATTTAGCGGGCAGTTCAGGCTCAAACGGGCAATTCTGAAATTAAAACGGGCAGCTCTGAATCGCGATTTGGGCAGTCCCAAAATCGAAGGAAATGAAGAAAGAATATAAAGAAAAACAAAGAAAATTTGAACTACACGCTGAAAACAGTCATGATTTTAGAGCTACCAAACTGTACACATACAGACAATAGGTTTCACGCGCTATCGAATGTGTGAATTCTCATTGATTGATTTTTGGTATAACTTTACTTATCATTACCGTACACATAGTGTAAAGGGAAAGTAAAGGAACATGCCCCGAATTTTTTTTCTCGCAAAATTGTCTTAGATCATCATTAAAACTCATGAAACGCGTAGAAAACACATTTTTGAGACACTTTTCCGTTCGTGTGCCGTTGTCGTTGGCGTAACTCAAAAATCGAATGAGATAATCCAAAATTTGGAATTTCTAGAAGTTTTGTATCCGAAAAATTTAGTTCAAGTTCGAAATTGAGCCATTTTTGATTTGACCCTGGGGTACTTCCCTTAAGAAAAACCTCCAAAAATGACAATTTTGTATGGGAGGTACCCGTAAATCAATTCCTAGTGGCTTCAAACTTTCTAAGGTTTCATTTTTTTTGGCAAAAAAAAGATTCTGAAAGTGTTATGTTGATCGCGTATGCGCGAGTTTAGTTTTTAGGTCTCAACTTTTCATAGCTGCGCAACTAGCGATTTAATACAACTGGCGCCATCTGGAATTTCTGTGTACAGTGTACCGAACTACACAGAATGTGTGTGATTTGTTGTTGTAAAAAATAAAAACATGGCAAAATAAACGTCAAACGTGACCACAGAGTGTACCTGTTGCGCAGCAGCTATGCAATTTTTGTCGAAATTTCTTTGAAAACATTTTTGTATAGGAGGTAACTGTACATCCATTTTTTTTTTGCCAAAAACAAAATATCAGAAAGATTGAAGCTAATCGGAACCAATTTACAGGTAACTTCTATACGAAATTTTCGAAAATTCGACTAGAATTTTAACCGATTTTTCACTGAAAATATGTTTTTTCGTTCAAAGCAATGAAAAAAATTACAGTGCGAAAAAGTACGGCATCACGAATGTTACTCTTTTTATATATTTAATTTAAATAATTGCTCTTTTCAAGCCCCCGCAAATTTGGCAAACTTCGGGTAGTTCTGAAATTTCCTTAAATTATGCCATGGAGAGAGCGGATAGCGTGCATGTGAGCGGAAAGCAAAGACGAATTCATTTCGAATATTGCGCTTCAATTTCTAATGACGCTTGGGTAGCTACAATGTTTTATCGTATTGTTTTTGTTGCATTATCTGACCTGATGCATATATTGATTCATTCCATGTTCACTAGTGATGTGCGTCACTCAACACTTGGAATTGAAAGTAGGAGTATACTTGTATGTATGTATATACAACATACAAGTGGTGTAAATGTGTTTTTTATAATTGTGGCTACTTCAACGGAATTAATTTTAGATTGGAATCTAATCATTAGATTCTCTAAGTTTTTAGTTTCACACGAAAGCGCAATTCAATTTCTAGGCAACGAAGTTGAATTTTTTCTAATGCAGCGCCCGTTGTGCGAATAAAAACACAATTTCTTTTCAATTGATTTTAATTTTTGTTGTGTTTTGACTACAAATTTGGTGAGTATAACTTATTAAATTAAATAGTTTTCATGAATTTCTAAATGAGTATATTTTAAACGAACTTATCCAATGAATTTGAAAAAAAAAAATATCCTGTGTGTGAATTGCAAAACAAGTTGTATCTCATGAACGTTAAATCAAATATAAAATCCAAAATTTTCACTTCAAAATTTAAAGTTCTCGAAAATTATTGCATATTAAATGTGTACTTTTAATTTTTATGAACTTTAGTTATTTATTAAAATTTATGGTCCGTTCTTGCCATTTTGGTTCATTATCATACGGTTAGTAATATGCGTCACTCAACACTTGGAATTGTAAGTAGGAGTATATGTATGTGTAATTGTGTATACGAGTGGTGTAAATGTGTATTGTAATTGTGGCTACTTCAACGGAATAAATTTTAGAAGTTTTTAGTTTCACACGAAAGTACAATTCAGTTTCTAGTCAGCGATGTTGCATTTTTTTCCAAGGCAGCGCCCATTGTTAGAATAAAAATACATTCATTTGCGACTGAATGTTCAAATGAGCTGGCTGGAACTGTTTTTTTTTTCTTTTAGAGATAGAGTATTGATATCGTCTTAATTTGAATACGGTCTTTGAACAGTTATTGATAGAATTTGAACTAGGGCCTGTTATCGTCCTAGAGTTTGAAGCATTTAGATAATACAATTCCCTTGTGGCTTCGTTGCTTTAGAAAATAAAAGAAAAATATAAGAACAGTAATTCAAAAACACCAGTAAACACCAGTAACAAAGTACCACCAATTAGGGTTTCGTACATTATACGTTGAGTGGAAAGCGATCACAAGTAAGCTGATCAAAAAAATCATTTTTTTTAACTTGGTATAATGCATTATAAATTACAATGCATTATAAATTACAAAACATGTGACGAACTTTTCATTCTTATTTTGTCGTTGCAAAAAATGTCAATCAAATTCGGTGTGTAATTTCAATAGAATTGTGATACCAACTTTAAACTTGTTTGCTAAATATATTCAAATTTTTTCTTGACAGCTGCTTCATTTCTTGGCTTGAACAATAATCGAATTTGTGCGGAGAAACCAAATTGGGACCCCCTACTATTTTATATTTGCAGGAATATACGTAAGTATTTTTTCAATTCATTTTTACACAATCGCGGTTTGGAATACTCGTGAAACATAAAATTGTGTTTCCTATTAATGATTATAGTTTGAATTTATGTACATATCTCTACGAATAAACTCAGATCAGATTTAGAGTTTGCTTAATTTAGAAACTCCATAGACTTTATTGGTTTAAATAGTTTCAGTAAACTAAAGTTTGTGTTTTTCTATTTGTGTTTAATAGCATAAGTGCTTTGGATTATCACATATAAAATGAACGAATTCAAAATGGAAGATATTCACAAAATCATGGAAAGAATGCTAATTATGAATTCTGCAAATCCGCATTCTAAAAAGACAATTCATATGCCGTTGGAAAAACTTGATCCAAAATTCAATAATAGGCCTATGCAATTGAATAGAATTTTCCCTCCTTCATCTTCTAACACAAATATGGAACTTTCACAAAAAGAGAAAATGCTAAGGGATGACATCCTAAAAGGAGTAGAGAATATTGTGCGTAAATACACTGTATCTAGATCGGAACTTATTGATATCCTGTCACAAAGACCCTCAGATGATTCTGCAAATATAGAAGAGCGCCTGCAGCAGTTGCAATTTTTAGCATTTTTGCAAGCTATGAGTAGTAAAAATGGTAATGATGGTGATAGTGACAGTGATGACAATGATAGCAGTGATGACACTGAAGTCGATGAAAAAGATGGCGATAGTTCTGAGCATGACAGCGCAGTCTTCTGTGGAACCAATGATAAAATTTTTATTCGTGATAAAAAGTTAGAATCAGATATGCATTTGGCAAAGATAAGAACAAAACTGATGATGACAGTCATTAAAAAGGCAATCAGCAAAGATTACCCATTTTTGTGGGGTGCGGAAATGAATAAATCGCATTATGCAAATGAAATACTTTCTAATTTTGTGATTCGATCACCTGGTGATGAAAATAAATTCCAATTTTTGAGTGCAAGGTATGAAGAAAAGAATGAAATCAACAAAAAAATCCGCAAAATTGATATTTTTGAAAAACATGGCGAATACAGTATACACAAATTTTTCAAATCATTTTGTGATGCCATTGAAGACTCTCTGTTCAACGAAACGTTGTCAGGGAAACCTTATGATATTGCTGACATCATTATTATCACAAACAAAGAGTTAGATTGCAAAAGGATTTTCGATTCACATGAACTACAAGATAATGAATTTTCATTCATTAAAGAGGGTGCAATAGTTTCATCAATCAAGACGGAGCGCTACGATGATATAAAACAGCAAATCAATCCTTCACAAGACTACGGGAAATATGTCTTACCATTTTTACAAAAATTGAAATTTATTTCGTTCCCAAATGAGGAAGAATTTAACATTTGGTTGGATAATGAGCTCAAGGATGATATTTTGGAGTTTCTAGATGCAACTGAAATTAGTTCTATTTCAGCTGATCAGAATAGTTTTCTTAATTTTGATGGAATAGAAACTCTTATCAATGTCAAGGCTGGATTCTTAACTCCGGTAGATGGTAAAACTCTTTTCAATGAAATGGCCAAACAATTCAATAATTTAATGCATCGTGAAATAAGTAGGGATAATATCTGCAAACTTAAGTCGTATGGACTCTCATTTGAATCAAACTATGTCGATGAATTGAAAAAAAGATTGTCTGCAGATAAAAGACTTATTGTAATAAGCACAGAATGCCCCCAACTGAGTGCAATCAAAATTTTGCAAAATTACAAAAGTTGGAATACGATAAAAACAGCGGAATGGCTCCATGATAATGATTTCATTTTCGTAAATTCCGATGGATTCGTACATTACTATGAAACACAAAACATTATTAAGAAATCTTTTTACTCAGATCAGTGTCCAAATCTTTTACTAATAGAATGCGTTTCAATGAATGTTAGTGACTTTTTTTACATTATAAATACCTGTACTGAATGGCTTGAATCTGTGGCGGGAAAACAAATTATTATAATTATCGAAGATAAACACGAATCAGAATTTATCGATTTATTTAGAATGGATAAGAATATTCATGTAATTAATGATAAGAACATTAGTTTTAAGCATCTAACAACAGATGTACAGGAAAATATTTTGGAGGAAAAAGAAGGTTATATTGATGGATTAACCGAAAATGATGCAAGAGAATTGATGCATCCACAATGTTTATGGCAACTCGTCGCTAAAAATACCTTCAACAAAAAGAATCTGTCGAGGGTTCCATTTTTTCTTCGAAGCAAAATAGGGACTTGTTATGATAAGTAATACTGCTGTAATGTACCTATGGTTTGAATGTACACACACAGAAACCATGTGGTTTTTTTCACCGTACTTGTGGAGTATACTAAGAAAAGAGTTTACTCCACAAGTACGGTGAAAATAAACCACAAATAGTTTTTGTGTGTATACAGCAGCGCCGTAGCCAGAAAAAAAATTGGAGGGTGCAAAATCGAAATTTTTCTTTTGTTGCACCTTTGAAACCCGATTTTGCACCCGATTTTGTTGCACCTTTGAAATTTTTGGAGGGTGCAATGCACCCATTGCGCCGGCCTGGCTACGGCGCTGGTATACAGTAACCGCAAAAAATTAGGAATCTATATATAAAATATTTTTTTAATACAGATATTTCACCTGCATATAAATCTATTTGGTATTTTTTTGAGATGCTTTACCGAACGTGCATGAGTACGCAAATAAAAATTCATATCCAAATGTGCTCTGAATGTGAATTGAGCACAAATTTATTGGTGAGTCATACTATATTTTGGAGCATATTGAACGTACATTTTGATATGGATTTTTATTTATATATATATCTATACGCGTTCGGTAGGGTAAACTAAATAGGTCCCCACAGAAAACCAAAACTAAATTTATAAATCAATGGTTACATCTTGAGCACATTACTGGTTTATCGCAAGAAAACTCTATCAGTTGATAAAGCTACGAACTACCAAAGCATTGCAGAGATACGGATGTTAGTTTTACAAAGTTTGAAATTTCACAATCGTATGTAATTAACCTAGGGATTTCACGCAAACTTGAAGGCCGAAGATTTTACTAAATAGCTGGAAATAAAACCATTTTATGTGTAAACTATAATATTATATATATATAATAGATATTGCTTCTTTTCATTCATAAACTCGAATTTTTTAGAATTTTTTGAATCTAAAAACCGCTCCTGGTTCTGGAAGTGGATCCTCAGGATGGACCAGGGCATTGTCAAACCCAGTCTGATCCATCTTGAAGATCCACCAAAACCCACTTCCAGAACATAATTTTCAAGGTGAATGTTGAAATATTTCGAAATAATACGGATTTTGGTGAAACCCAGAGAATTTTAGAGAAAAGAGAGAAATATTGAAATTTTAGATGAATTTTAAGTTGCGTGAAACCCCTAGTAATTAACATAACTTTTTTGTTAAAATCGTTCTTTGTAAAAGAAAATCTTCAATATGAGTGTGAAAATGAATTTGAAAACTGCAAATTTGTATCAATAAATCATCATATTTCGCCGTTTTAGCACTACATGTAATGCAGGCTACAGATCTAGTTTTTTTTTTTCTAGGAAAGAATAAGCGGCAGATGTCAACCATTCTCCACTTCCATTGGATTTCAACGGTCAAAGTGTATCTAAATGCAAGTGGAGACGGTGTGTAGAAAATAGTGTAGAAAAACTTTCAAAATGGGGAAGGTTCTTTCTAAGATTAGGATTAATTCATTTTGATATACATATTAATTATTCTAAATAAAGCAATTATCATCCAAATTGTAACATAGTCTAAATTGTAATTGTGAAAAATTGTTCAGGATAACTGAGAAACAATTTGTTTTTGTTTTTTTGTTACTACTTGCAGGAGCAAAGCGACGCTCTGTGGTCTTGTTTAAACCTCTTTTCCAAGCACCGGTTCGGACATAGAAATATGTTTACCTAGACAAAGCATAGACGCATACGGACGACCGTGCGACGGACGTATCACCAGAGCCATCGTTGTTTGCTATATACTGTATTCATACACACACACACGCATGCGTCTCGCAATGCACGATCGCCCGTTGATACGTTTTTCTCACGGTCGTCCGTATGCGTCTATGCTTTGCATATTTATCTTGCATATTTCTATATCCGAACCGATGCTTGCACTTACTGGTTCCCTTTATTATGAATATTAACTCTTAGATTTAACAAATTCATCAATAATTTTCAACAGCAGTTTCTTCCTTTTTCAAAGTTTGTGTGAGTTGAACGGCTAAAATGGAACCGGATAGAGATGATTGGGACGATACATTTGCTTCCACAAAGGCTATAAGAGGAAAAGGATCTCTTCAAGGACACATGTTTGTTGTGAAGATACTAATGCTTATTATGAAGAGAGTAAATCGGAAAATAAGACAATTTAGATTAGGCGCAGATGTTGATGCCGCTTTCCCATTCGACGATATAGTCATAAAACATCAAAAAGAATGTGGACTAATTCAAGCGAAGCATAAATTAAGTCCACATAAAGATATTAACAAAATATCGGAAGTTAAATTAACAACAATAGAGAATGGCGAATTTAGTTTACAAAAATACTTCATAGGTTTTTATGAAATAATTAAGAGAAACAGTAAACTTTTCGGCAAAAATGCTGAAAATATCAAAGATTTGATACTTATCACTAACACCAATTTTGTCGCCGGCTTTCAAAAATTGAAATGGGGTCGTTTCATTAAGCCTACGTTTCTTTCTGATTTTTTAAAGAATAAACCTCGTACAATTATTGAAAAATTCTTATATATAGAAAATAGTATGCAAAATGTGCAAATATGGACATTTGATGACACATTTTCTGCTGACATAGAGAAAGAAATTGAAGGATTGGTCAAAATAAAAAAAAGTTTCATTGAAAAGAAAATAACAAGCAAAGTTATTTACAAATACTCAATGATTTACGGTTCACGTGACTTAGGGGTGAATAAAACAAGGATTCATGATAAAATGCAGGAAATATACAATGAATTGTGTACAACATCGGATGAAATATCAAATAGAATATACAAAATAATTGAACAAGATGAAGTTGACGATAGAGGAAACAATTTCGAAAAAATGTTCTCGGATTTGGAAATATGTAAGAATATTTTAGATGATAATAAGTTTCCTGATTATGTTAAAGACTTCATGTTAAAATTTAAATTTATCACGAACTATCCGAGTGAGCATCAATTACACACATATATTTGGAATGAATTCGAGAAAATAATGAGTTATGAAAATCATTCTGTAATCGAACAGGAGGTTATCGATTATCTTAAATCTTATGCAAATACCAAGCAATTGTGTCGTTCACGATTTTATGGGAACAAAACTATAGAAAAATTGATTCAAAATCAAAAAGGAATTTATAGAGACAATATTAATGATAACTCGAGAGTTTTACATGTTTTTCCCCAATTATGCTAAAATGTTTACCGAAAATGTTCGCGATAAAATTTAGTTATTTTTTCGTTCTTTCTATCAGAATAAGAATGAAATAAAATGAAATATTGTTATAACCTAGGGGAATTTAACTCTTACGAGTTCAGCATGTTTTCTGTCAGTTTGCTTGATTCGCGGAAGTTCGACGCGTTCGTTGTACGTACTGACGCGCACGGTCACAAGTTTACACAAGTTTGTTTATGGTTTTACGCGTTTTTCAAGTTGTTATTTGACAACTAAAACGCGTTTCAAACAAAAAATCGGTTGTTTACGTGTATAAAGATTTTTCACATCCTTTCCAAAAGATCAAAGATTTATATAATTATAAAATGGACAAAGGAAATATTTTTAAAGAGCTGGAAAAAGTGTTGGAAGAAAAAGTTAATCCAGATAGATATAATAAATGGAACGACTGATGTGTGCGCGTCGTCCAGCTTCATGTTTGCACACGAACTCGCACAAGTTCGCGCATGTTGTTTTAATACGGAACTTGTCAACTGAGTGGAATCATGCAAGTTCTCTGGTGAATGAAACAATTTCGTGCGCGTTTATATCATTTTTTTTTTACAAGTTTTCACGTAGTTAAATCCCCCTAGGTTATAACTATACAGTAATTCACATACTAATTTTTGATTATACGTAGAAACCATTAAAATGTTTACCAGCTACTATTTTAACGTTGAAATAAATATAATGAAAAATTTCATTGATGCACATTTTCTTTGTGTTTTAATTTTTTTTTCTTTGAATAGAATGTCTGTGTCATTTTTAAACAGCCTCTCTGATCGTCTGTACAACTAGATAGGAAACGTCAAACAAGAACAATAAAGCGGCACCTGGCGACCGGTTGGAGAAATAGAGAATCATGCACATAGTTTGCTGTAACAAGTATGCATCTGTGTAAGTGCGTCTGTGTTAGTTCAACGTTTGAACTTCAAACGTTGAAAGTATGACACACTGCACTTTGTCCTCAGGTGCCGCTGTATTGTTTACTATTTTCATGATCAGAAAGGCTGCTTTTAAATTAAATAAATTAATATCACATCCATTTCGACTTTTATCTCAAATATTTTTCGCTTGATTACTTTTCGGCGCTTCGTTTCTTCGTGGGATGTACCAATCGGTGATTTTCTTGCTATTATCCGAGAAGTGAAGCTCAATATCTTCAAGTGATCGACTTTCAGTTTCCGGCATAATATTAAACATCAAAATGAGTCCAAGTGTTGCGATGACGCAATAAAACATTGCGATGCCAGGCAACGAAAGTGATGTTTCCAGGTCATAGTACGTTTTGGTGGTAGCAAAGGCCATTGTGTAGTTTATTGCGGCCGCTATACCAGCTGCCATTCCTCGAGTTCTGCAACAAATAACAAACAATTCATCAATCTTTCTCTTTCTCTTTCTCTTGCCCACAATATCTCATGTTTGACTTACTTGAAACTGAAAATTTCGGAAAGCATTTGCCATGGCATCATGAAAATGCCACAGTACGAGCAAAAGCTCCATAGAATCAGGCAACATGTTGGAATATAAACGAGTGCACTGTTTTCCAGCTCCGGCACCAAATGTGTTTTTCCGAATGACGTGTACCCACTTGGCAGAACAACGAAACCATAGATCGCGATGACGAATGAAGAAAGGCAAACTCCTGACAAAACCATCAAGTACAAGCAACGCTTCCCAAGGAATCGCACCAGACACATGAAAGTGATCGTTGCGAAAATATTCAGAAAACTTAAAATGGAAGTGGCAACATCTGGTTTCAACGGGCTTTGGTATGCTCTGAAAATTTGTACTAAGTAAGGAGTCATTGCAAAAATGCCTGAATATTGAAGGATGATAAACAATGAGATGACGATGAAGAACGGTTTCAACGTTCGTTTTCGCTTGAAATCAGCGAATTTTTCAGCCAGAGTGGGCAGAGCGTGAGTGCATTTTTGATTAAGTTTTATGCAGTTGTCGCATGATTTAGATCGTTCGTTGTAACGCTGTAGCGCCTCAAACTCATCAGCAATCACCTCTTTTGGCACCCAGCCCCGGAGCCAGCACAACGCTTTTTCAGCACGATCTCGGAAACCTTTGGAAAGGAGCCAATGGGGCGTTTCGGGAATAAAAATAAGTGTGACAAATGTTGTAATCGGCAAAAGCATGCAAATCAATCCAACTGTACGCCATGACAACTGCGTGTTCAGGAAATAAACCATCGCTGTTCCCATTGGCGTTCCAAGATTTGTATACGCTATTAACACACCTCGAATCGAAGGCTGACTGTAAAGAGATAAAAATGGAAAGTATTCATAAAAGATTATTCTTTCTTTGTTTTTACGACATTTTTTTATATTTCCCATCATAATTCTGTGCATTTAATTACGTTTTAAATGAACAAATGAGCAAATGTTTGAATAATGAGTGAATATAAAAATGTTATCGACTTGTTTTTTCATTTTGTAAAAAATCTTCGTATGAGATGAAAAATGAAGAAGGTTTTAGTGACGCTTTTTATGGTTCATTTGAAATCAAATATGAATTTATTCCAATTAATAGTCATTTTTTTATCAAAAAACCCGGGAAAAACGAAATTTGTCATGAAAATTTTGAACATCGTGTCATAAAAACACCTCAGCTTTGTATCATAGCCGACGAAGGTAGGTGCAAGGGTGAAAACAGCTCACGAAAGTAGGTGCAATGGCGAAAGTATAAATAAAATTTATTCCAAAATAGTCAAACTCACCAAATCTCTCCAACGTAAGTCTAGGAGGAAAAATATTTAAAAAACATATTGAACTTCTTGATTTGCATTTTGTTTGAATTTAATGATCATACCATGATAGGCGCTTCCATCAACCCAATGCCAAAGCCCAACAATGAATTAGCGATGAAAATTTCTACAACACTTCGAGCATTGTAGAGCAAAAACCAAGCGAGAGCATAGGGTATATTCACAATCATCATTGCGCGCCGACGACCCTGAAACGGCAGACAGAATGAATAAGCGTCAGATAATGGAGTAAGCAGGAGAGAAAAAATGATCATTGAATTAATTGATTAGGACTTTGTTTTCTTCATTTCTTGAAGGCAGAGGGAAAGAAGAAAAAAATAATGCAAAAAGAGAGAAAATACATACCAAGTAATCTGTGAAAAAAAAACGGGAGTCAAAATGAATTAGCGTGAGATAATGAAGTAAGTAGAAGCGGACGAAATGAGAGAATAACAAACGAGAAAAATGATTATTTTGGAGAAAAAAAAAGAAGAACAGTGCAAAAAGAAAATACCTGTAATGACGGCTGATAAAAGACTACCAATTGGTTCGCAAATGAATAAAACGCTACCTAAAATGTTCAAAAATTGGTTTAAAACAACTCTTTTCTCCTTTTTTGAATCCAATCAACGTTTAGTATTTACCTAACCATGATGCCTGTGTTTCTGTAATGCTGATGGTTTCTCCAGCATTGTGTTCATTCGATTTGCCCGTCAGGGCAGGTATTACAATGCCAGAGAATGAAATGCACAGGCCGAACTCGAAGGTTAGCATCACCTTCACTGTGGTTGCCAGCACCTTTGGAAAATTCATGGAAAAATGTTAATGATCAATTCTCTTTGATTTCGAATGAAGACAATTTTTAGATGTTTTTGGACTTTCTTTTGGAAAGCATTTGCTTCTTTTCGGTTTTCATTTTCACATTTTAATTTTTCATATTCGATTTTTCTTCGAATTCCGTCAAATTTTGTTCAAAGATTTTTCAAGTTCCATCAAAAAAAAAAATCAATGTGTTACCAAGCAACACTTTGACTCAGCGATAAAACACGATTCATCTGCCCATTGACTCACTTTATTTACTTTGTTCACACTCTGATATCTTTTTGAATTGAAGTTGTTTATTTTTAAAACATGATGCGACGCGACTTGAAAACTAATTCCATGAGTTGTTTCACTTTTGATAAAAGCTTTGAAGAGAATGAGGATAAGATTACATTTGGATTGGATGCGATTTATATTCAATTACTTTAAATTCCCAACTTTGAACTTCACACTAAAAAAAAAACATCAAACTTCAGGAGAACTGGGGACTTTTGCTTCTTTTTTCCACTTTATTTCGCTTTCTTTCATCATGAATCAAGATTCTTGATCTTTAAACTTCTTATTTTCCCATTTCATTCCACCGTTTTTTCACCAATGTTCATGACAAAAAAGTTTTGTAACCATATTGTATGGCCATGGCCATGCGTGTGCTATGTCTCTTACCTGTGATGAAATGCGTCGCAATCGGTATGAACCTTTGACGTCATCTTTTTGTTTTGCCTCAATTCCAACCGTCATTGTTTTCACGTAAAATTCGCAAAAAAAAGCCCAATTTGCAACGAAAAACCAAGTCCAAGTTCACGGTATCAACGCGACTGAAGGACACTTAAATGTCAGTGTCGCCGTCTGAAAATGATTGTCAAATGCAATCGAAAACACAACTGAACATTCACCACAACCAAAACATTCACAACTGGCGCTTACCCGAGTGTCGTGATCATATTTGCATGATTTGAAAGCGGCGATTTGGCATCTGGTATCTCAATTGTAGATTAAGCCAAGCAATCAAAATTTTTGTCAGGCCTAATTTATGATGTCACTAGCTGAACTGATAACAGTATACATAGTTGATACAAAAAGAAACAAACAATCAATACGACTCAAAATTAACAAATTGCAGAAGAAAATAAAACAATTAGTGCTATCGCTATTTCTACACTTCATTCACCGCTTTTTGATTCTTTGTCGTTCGTATTGGAATTTTTTTCGCTGTTACAACTGACAAGTGCAAGTGATAGCACAAATTCAAACTAATAATTAATTTAGCCGTAATCTTTCGAGTGTTAATATCACTTTTTGCTGACTTTGTTCGGAAACGGAGCCGTCTATCGTTTATTAATTAGGACTTACAGTTTGTATTCAATGTTTTAATTAAAATTGATTGCAAAAAAGTTGCGGTTTTGATTTCAAATTGATTTTTAGGTTGCATGCGATTGACTTAAGGGTTGACAAAGATCAAGTTTTAACGAGATTGAACAATATAGAGTCGATGGTTTTTGATTTGAATCGAACGACTTTCATTTTATTTTTTTTAATTGAATTATTTTATTCCACTCATCCACTCAACCACTGCCTTCCAAAAAATCGATTGAACATCTTTCGATCAATGATCGAATCAATCATGTTGTTAATTGATTCCATGGCCAATATTTGTTCGCTTCCGTTGTTTTCATGATCGATTGGTCAAGGGAAATCATAATCTGAGCTTGCACATGATCTCAAAAACTTTTGCCATTCATAAATCAATCAATTTGTACTTGAATTAGAAATTCTTTTCGTTTCATTTCTCAATTTATAATTTTAAGGGAATTTTGGAACTTAAAATTGATTTCTTTTCCATCCGAAAGCATGGTATGTGAGTAGATTGAGTATTTCTTTTCTTTTCTTTCTTTTCTTTCTTAATTTTTTGTCCGGATTCAGAATAATAACAAAAGTAATGCATGTACAGTGCACACATGCACCATGGTGCATGCATTTCAAACCAAAACTTTTAACTAAATTGCATTCATAGCAATCGGTTGCAACTTTTCAATGTCAAGCTTCAAGTAAATCCAATTCATTTGTGATTCATGACTCGGTTTTAGTTCGTATTTTATTGAATGTGTGTTTTAGTGGCATTTTTGAACGATTTAATGCAAATTCTTGTAACTTTGTTTAGATTTTCCCTATCAAGTATTCTATTTTTATCACTTTTGCTATGGGAATGGAGTCAAAGTAGAAATACAGAATATCTTATAGTAAATATGGGAATTTTTTACTAGTTCTACCTAGTGATGGATTCGAACGTTCGTTCGTTCGTTCGACATGACTTAAAAAATGGTTTTCTTCGTTGTTCGGACAAACAAATTTTTTTTATACAAAATTTAATGTTGTTTGGACCGAACAACGAACAAAACAATTTTTTTTGAATCATGTCGAACGGTCGAACACTAGTCTAACTTTCCTTTTGCAAAAACAAACTTCATAAAGATCATACATTGTAATATTCGGTGAGTGCCACTAAAAAAATATCCACACTCATCTAGTGCGTGAGACGCATGGTCACTCATTTAGTGAGTGAGACGCACGCGGATGAGATGAAGCAAAGCGAAAGAGAAGCGGGCAACTCCATACGAACCAACGATATAGCGCGCAAACATTTCATCACTCCGTCGTTAGAATACGGACACAAACACAAACACATACCCCAAATATCAAACTGATTTTTGTTTGTAACTTTGCTAGAAATGGTTCTTGACTAATCTGTCAAACATATACCAATACATTGCGCCTGAAAGGCACATAGATGTCGCTGGCAGTCAGGTTTCTCTCAATATAAAAGATATGCACAAACACGTAGTACCCATTGACTCTATGTTCTAGTTGCGCGCTTCCCTTTCGCTTTGCTTCATCCCATCCGTATGCGTCTCACGCACTAGACGAGTGTGGATATTTTTTTAGTGGCACTCACCGAATATTACAATGTATGATAAAGATTTGTATTAAAATGCTGTCCTGTGCATGAAAATACCTTTGTTTCGTGTATAGCATATTGATCAGAAAATTGGTTAATAATTTCTATGTTTTTCTTTATTATACTATTCTATGTGTTTTTTTTTGTACAATTTCACGTTTCACAACACAATCAATTGCTTTATTTTTCAATGAAAAATATTGCTTTTCCTTCCTACAATCGATTTTTTCTAATATATATATTGACAATCTATTTCACGGTTTAATTTTCAAAAAAGTATTCTAGATTCAATGAAAATTCAAATTAGATTCCCGTTGAAGAGTATTTCCTTTCACAGATTCAAGCATCAATAACAAAACCACGATTATCACAGCCGATTCGAGTGTTATTCTTAGACCTCCCATCCGGCCCGGAATTCCGCAAATTTTGGCTTGGAATCCGGAATTTTAGAGCGATTTTTCAATGAATTCCGCAAATTTTCAACTTTGAATGTGTTTCAAAAAACATAAAATTGTCCATATCAATTCATTCGTTCAAAATAAAAATGCGGCTCACATACACCAAAGCACACCAAACCATTTCATACAAATATAATGACTGTGCATTTGTCGATCGAGAAATAAGCAATCAGATTAATCGATTCTCTTATGTCCTTTTTTCGGTTAATTTAATTTTTGCATTATATAACTAACAGCGATAAACACACTTTTCTGCTAGTGTATGACACAATTCATTTAAGACACAAATACATTGATAGAGCGTTCAATACAGTTAGCAAACGAAAGTGAAGAGTGAGAACGAAAGAAATGAAGAGTAGAAATCAGTTGTTTGTTTTTATTCGAGGAGCAAAGTGTGTGCAATAGCCGATTTTGGTAGTCTTACAATAATTAAGTTAAAGATGTTGAGTGACGATCGGTCAGAGTTGACGTTAAATAGGATTCGTTCGATGGCGCTTGTTAAACTCAACACCAATCAAACTTGCACCGAATTTTTCAACGAAATCAAAAATGAACATTCTTCGTGCAATAAAAGGTGGACAGAAATACGTGGAGAGTGCAAAACGAATGCACAGCCGGGTTTTGCAACTAAATCAAGAAACTGATAATTCGGGAGACGCAAGACAACGCGATTGTTCTTGATTAGCTTAAATGCAAATTCTCATTTATTTGATATTGCTTTAATTTCATTCTGATATTTCACACTTTTGATAATATTTGATCAATTTTTTACTGTTCCTTTGTAATTTTCCTGAGAACTCTTGAAATAAAACGATATTTATTAAATTCCGGAAATTTCCGTAAATTTTGAACCCGAACTCCGCGAATTTTTTTGAAATCCGTACAAAATTCCGGATTTTTCGTAAAAATCCAATGGGAGGTCTAGTTATTCTTGAGTGAATCGTTGCCATTTTCGAGCTCAAAGCCATTTTTGACGATTTCGCCATCCCCATCACCTTTCGTTTCTTCCAGCTGTTCCGTGGAAACTCGAGCAATTTTGCGATCGGTGAGTTTTTTGGAATTATCCGAAAAATGGAATTCAATGTCTTCCAACGTGCGATTTTCCGTTTCAGGCATAATATTGTAAATCAGAACCAGCCCCAATCCAGTGATAATACAATTGACTAGAGCAATTCCGGGCATTGATAGTGATGTTTCCAAATCGTAATACGATTTTGTGCTGACGAAAGTGAAGAAATAGTCTAAAGCTGCCGATAATCCAGATGCAATACCACGTGCCCTAGAGTGAAGAAAAAAATTGAGATTAATTTCGAGATTTGACGTTTCAACGTTTGAGAAGAGCGCACTTGAATGGGTAAACCTCCGATAACATTTGCCAGGGCACGGAATTCACACCACAGTACGAACAGAAGCTCCACAGAATCAGACAAACGAATGGTATGTAGGTGAGATTTTTATTTCCCACTGAAGCGGTTGAGTGATCGAATGAGTTGTAGCCGTTTGGAAGAAATGCAAAACCATAAGCCGAGACAGTGGCCGAGCATAGAAATACCATCGTTAACATTGGAAAGTATAATTTCCGTTTGCCTGTGAAGCGAATCAAGCATAAGAACACTATGTTCGCGAAATTATTCACAAAACCAAGGATGGCCATTGCTTGATCCGGTGCGATCGGGCTTTCATAAGCTTTTAAAATTTGGCCAAGGAATGGTTTCATTCCAGTTATACCGGTGAATTCAGCGATTACCATCAGCGATACCACAATGAATAACGGCTTGAGCGTTTGTTTGCGCTTTAGCTCCCTCAATTTCTCAAGCATGGTCGGCAGTGGATGAGTACATTTTAAGTCCTTTTTTATACAAGAACTGCACGATTTTGAACGTTGACTGTACCGCTGAAGCACCTGGAATTCCTCAGAGACATTTTCCTTTGGTGCCCAGCCACGCAGCCAACAAAGGGCTTTTTCAGCATCATTTACTCGATTCTTTGAGAGAAGCCACAATGGTGTTTCAGGAACCTAGAAAATATGAAAAACTTTTTTCAATTCACATTCGATGGAAAAATCGACTTGAATTTTGATTGAAAACTTAAAAAATGCAAAAGAAAAACATTTCAAATTACACAAGTGCCATGCTACAAAGCTTTCAACGCTGCTAAACACTTACAAAACAAAGCGCCAACACGGTAAATATTGGAATGATCATACACACTAAGCCGACCATGCGCCACGGCAGCATCGTATTCAAAACGAGCACCAACATCATTCCGAACGAGCCAAATACATTGGTGTACGCGATGAGAATCCCACGATATGAAGGTTCACTAGAATCAAAGTGTAAAATATTACGTTACAGTACGACACGTTATACGACCCCTTATAAAAAAATTAGTCTAATCTCTGTGCAATTCAAAACCCATTTCGTTTTTCATTCTGTGCAAATGACTGTAAATTTAACGATGTTTTGTTTCGTTAAAAACTGGAATTCTCTTAGGAAAGTCTTTTCCAGCCAAAAACTTACATAATCTCTCCGATATAAGTAATGACCTAAATATCAAAATAAATTAATATTAATAGGTGCAGGTAAATTAATTAATGAACTATTAATAATAGATATAATTGGTTGATTTACCGGGGATTCCATGAGGCCAACACCAAGACCAAGTAAAATGTTTGCGACGAAAATTTGCCAAACACTCCCAGCAGTGTACATTAAAAACCAGGCGATTATAAGCGGCACATTCACGAGGATCATCGCTCGTTTTCGACCAAAAAAATCTATCGGCGAAAAGGCGAATCGAAGAATTCGATTCGAAGATTGTTTGAATTTAAAGCAATATTAATTTTTTATAAATTCCAAGATAAATACCTGTTATCAGAGCGGACAAAACACTGCCCAGCGGTTCACAAACATACGCGATGCTGCCTATTTTTGATTACAAAACTGTTTATTTATGAATATTCAAAACTTTAAACTGTTTGCGGTTTCCAAATTCATTATTTAAAACGAAAAATTTTCAAAATAAATTTTAATAAATAATTAATCGAAAAATGTCCACAAGTTCAGAGATAATTAGGTGAACAACAAGTCATATGAGTTCAAAATTCAAAATTAGTTCTTCAATAATAGTTAAAAGGTACCTAGTAAACAACATTAGGGTCATGAGCCATTACCTAACCATGAAGCTTGAGTTGAAGTGAGCGAAAGTGTTTCGTTGTGATTGTGTTCGTTGGTTTTTCCCGTTAGAGCCGGAATAATAATTGATGGAAATATCCCACTCATGCCCATATCAAAGAGTAGCACGGTTGTAGCCACGAGCTGTGGATCATCAGCGCCAAAAAATAGAGCCAAATCAAATATTTTTGAGTAAGAAGATAAAGACACATTCAAAATTTGATCATAAAATGCATGATTTAAAGTCACCAGAATTAAAATTTTAACAAAATAATCAAAAAAATTAGCGCGAAAATCCACAGAAAAATCACAAAATAATGAAATAAGCACAAAGAACCAATGCGATGGATCGAAGTGCAATAAATAACACAAACACCGAAAATATCACAAAGCATCTCGGTAAAATTAACACAAAAACAGAATCTCTGCCTATGTCTGCTATGAAATTTCGATCTACGAAAAAAAATTCACAAAAATAGTTTTAAAATAAGTCCACACCTGTGATAAAAACCGCCGAAATGTGCTGATTTCCTTGATTCTTCCATCATTTTTACTTGTTTTTTCATCGACTGACATTCTTTTCGTTGTGACTTTTCAAGTGTGACACCCAAGCAAAAGTCAATTGCAAAACAGCGTGCTGTTGAAAAGCCAAATACGTGTCGCTGATCCAACCACCAATGTGAGGCACTAGGTTATTTCTTCATAATCCG